TCATTATCACTATCACAATCACTATCACTATCCCTATCACTATCAGTATTACTATTACTATTACTCTTACTCTTACCATTACTATTACTATTACTATTACTATTACTATTACTATTACTATTACTATTACTGCTACTACTACTACTACTACTACTACTACTACTGAAACAACAACAACAACAACAACAACAACAACTACAACTACAACTACAACTACAACTACAACTACTACCACGACGACGACTACTACTACTACTACCACCACTACTACTACTGCTACTACTACTACTACTACTACTACCACTACTACAACTGCTGTTCTGCTGCTGCTAGTTTAAGGGCTACTGCGGCTGCGGCTGCTGCTTCAGTAACGGCTACGGCTGCTACAACGACTACTCATTATGATGATGAGAATACAAAATTTAGCATAATTGCTTCCTATACCAAATCAGTCGTGATACTAACGACAATAACAAAGATGTACTGACAAAAACTTTGCAGATAATTAGCAATAAGTCAAAAATACTGCAATAACAATGATACTGTTAATGCACATTTACGATAGCAATAGCAGTAACAACAATCTTAACAATACTAATGCTTAGTCACAGCCATAACCGTACTACTTCGCATAATCACATTGAATATAATCTGTAACAGTAACAATACTACTCGTACGTAGTAGCCAGAGCAATACTGGGACACTGTCCCGCTGGCCTCGCCATTGTGCAACATCGGCCTCGACGACTCCTGAGCGGGCGACTTCCCATAGTTCCAAAGGCTTACACAAGACATAGACACGAAGACTCGGTGATTGGATGATATAATGCTCCACTGGGGAAAGCCTTGCGTAAGGACGTGCGACAGCTGAAAGGCTCCTCGTCAGCCATCGCAGTGATGGGCGGTGCAGGCAGAGCTTCTTGAACTTTGTTCTCCCGCTGAAGGTTGCTTGCGTGGGTGGACGTGGGTTGTTTCGCGGTGAATATGGCCTGTATGTGTACTGGGTCTGCGCAGGCGCTGTGATTGGGAGCCACACCGAGTTCAAGTCAGCAATCATCCGCCTGGCTTCGCGGCCCTAACCGTCTCTCTCTCCTGCCCAGGCTCTGAGTGCCCACCCGCCCTCTTTGAAGCATCCTTTGCAAGCAAAGCTGTACATTGCGCCAGGCCCGGAGAGCGTTTCGTGGGCTCAGCCTTCGGTCGCGCCCGGACCCAGCTCTTTGGCATCGGAAGCTTACAGTGCACAGGCCCAAGATGCTTGGGCGCACTCTCGAAACGAAGGTGCCAATTCGGCACACTCGTATGCATCACTCTTGCAGTTCAGTTCTGCGCACCGGTCAGTCACTGCGAGATGCTCTGCTCACGCGTGCTCTCCTGCAATGCTCTCGGGTTGCGAAGAACAGACAAGACTGCTGTTTGCCCACCCGATGCACCTTCTTTAAATGCCATGTCGCGGAGGAGCCGGTGGCAATGTCTGCATATCCACCTGAGCTCATCAGGTACGGTACCGGGAACTATTCTGGGCAGTGGCAGCGGTGGTGGCGGTGGTGGGGGTTCGTCGTCGTAGTAGTGGTGGTAGTAGTAGTAGTAGCCGTCGTCGTCGTAGTAGCAGCAGCAGCATCACCATCGTCGTTGCTATTGTGATGATTATCACTATCAATTTTGTACTAGCCAGAACAAGTAGCACTCTGACTTTCATCATTAATGCTTTGTTATTAGCTGCCAAATGTGTTTAGGGCTACGTATACCTCCTGTAGATCCTGAGTCATCAGGCTCCGGCAAAGAACTGTACAGCCTCCTCGAACTCCGCTTCGGTCAGCTTTACCTCGAGAAGCTTCAGCTCAGGAAAACAAACTGACTTCGGGAGACTCTCATTCATTACCCTGCTTCATTCATATATTGACCATTACTGACCTAGTATACGATTTTGGGTACCTCGCTTACTGTCATTCTTAACATTAGCAGTTTCATAGATGTTGGTAAAAAAGACTCTATCTTCTCCGAGGATACGCATCCTCGCGATGGCGAGGAGGGTGAGATGGGCGCCTCCTGACGGCGAATGGGTCCTGAGCTGATAGGGTGTAGGATTTAGGCCTGGGGTTTAGGAAAAATGCAGCGAGCTCAAGAAGGAGTGGGCTGAGAAAGAGACGCGACTTTCTAGTCTTGGGGTTCAGCTGCACCTGCGCTGGCTGGCGAGAAACAGAAACGCCTCTTTCAGGATTGCCCCGAGCCTGGTTCCCAAGATCGATCACATACTTCCAGCCTTCAGGCACTTGGGGGTTTCCGAAAATAGGGGACCCTAATATAGCACCCTAAATAGTAGATCCCTATTATAAGGACCCCAAAGTAAGGTACCCCCTATTTTCGGAAACTCCCACTTTGGAGCTTTGTTTCCAGTCTCTGGCCGAGCTGAACCGGACGTGGGCCTCGTGGGCCCAGGCGCAGCTCGAGGCTCGGAATCCTATCACGGAGCAGAGTATGAGAGTGAGTGAGCAGCCGCCGGAAGGAGTTCCGTGTGCGTTCTTGTTTGTTGTTCTGTCTACGTTGCCTTTTTCTGTGTATGTCTTGTTGCTTCCGCTGAGTCTAGTTTAAGGGTTGCTCTTTTGAAATTCTTGCTTGCTGAGTTCTTTAGTTTTCTTTCCGAGTTGACGTGAAAGTGGATTCTGTATGGGTAGCTCACATCAGAACCAACGTCCCTACAAACCCTATGGTGTCCTTTAAACCGACTAAGCCGGTGAGGCGGAAGGAACCTAGCCGTTCCCTATCAAAGCGAGACCGCACCCAAGCGGCCGCTTCCTGAAGTTTTGGGGAGTTCCCAGAGAACCCAATACCCCTTAATTAAGGAATATACCTTAAATCATAATACTAAGGTATATTCCCTGATTAAGGTGTATAGGGTTCTCTGGGTTCAACAAGCATAAGCAGAGGAAGGCCGTCCAAAGCCGTTTCCGTTGCTTGCGACCTGAAGCTGAAGCTGCCCAGCTTCTGCTCTTGGCTGCGTCCAAAGGCGGATTCGTCAGGTGCATTCAAAACGCGACAGGCATGTCGGACTTGGTTCAGCTTGCCAGGCCTCTTGCTGTAGGCAGCTTCGATGGTAGCAGACGCCTGGCTAGCGACTTCACTGCAAGGAGTGCCAAAGCTGTAGCGGACTGCAGTCGAAACATGTCGAAACCATAAGACAGCTCCGTTGGAAGAATCCGCTATGTATCCGTAAATCATAGCTAGCTCTAGCTGCAACCAACCAACGCCGGGACTGTATCCGAGTTGAAGGCAGCACACGATGAAGCGCAACAAACATCTATCAACATTCCCAGCTTCGGTGAGTCAAGGCCCGTGACCCTGGAAAGTGTTGGGTAGATGACCCTTAACCCGTAACCCCTGAGTAAAGTGCCGTTTCCATGGGTTATGTCCGGCCGTTTTGTGGTTCGGCCTGCCTCTTCCTCGTAGCCGACCCAGGAGCCATTTTCCACCTGGACCTGGTGAGGATCAGTCAGGCCAACTGACGAATGAAGCACAGGACGTGATGAGATAGCACTACCGTGGACTCTGCGCTTCAGAATTTCATCAGCTGGTCGTCAGGCCGATAGCTCATTTCTGAAATGCCTCCCACTGCGTGGTAGGCCCACGTCGCACAACTCCTCTGGCTCTCATTGCTTCACCTCAGCTGTTCACAGCCAAGCCCCGTAGGCCGGTAGAGTATTGGCGATGTGACTATCTCATTGCAGGATCCTTGCTACGGGTTGTGACGACCGCAATCTAGCGTATTCCGACCTGCTCTGCGCATGGTCTGAATTCGCAGCGAGCTGCAAAAGCTCTGAGCGTTGAAAACAGTCGCGAAGTCCTCTGTCAGTCTGGCATCGCCGCCAAACCTGGACAGCTGTGCGCTTGCCAAAGTCGAATAGATTATATCATATCTGTACTATATATATATACACTTATAAACATATAAGTTATGTGTATATGTGTATATATATATATACACATTTATTTTTTAACGCATAATATTATTTTCTACTATGCTAACTTGAGAAAGCGGCACGAAAGCTCGTCGGCGAGGGTTGGTGCGGCACTGCCAGCGAGGACTAGCACTGAACAGCAGCAGGAATAGCGCACCGGTAACTCGGGCCTTAGGAGGACACGCCTTTAGGGTCGGTTGAGGGTGGCAGTAGCAGTAGGATTCGAAGCAGCAGCATAACGAGAAGCTTTAAGCGGTGTGTTTGGCATCAGGGCGCCTGGAAGCTTTGGCATCCTCATAAGGGAGGTGACGCTGGCGCGACCAGAGCCAAGTGCATTCGTTGCAGAAAACTCGCAGATGTTCACCGACCTCAGATATGACTTCATGTTTTCAGGCTCCTCAAAAGATTCGCTGGATCCATGTGTCCATCTGCACATCTATCCATCCACCACTCTTCCTGGCATGCCGGCAGCATGCATGGAAACACGTCTGATGTCTCAGTGCCGAGAAGCTATGTCTCGGCTGGCTGCTCCATCCGGCAGCCGCTGCAGCGAGACGTCCTGACGATGCTACGGTCCTTGACCTGCCTTGAAGACGGGCACCATGCGAGTCGTGAGCTGAGCGAGGAGTCCCGAGGCTTAGATCGGGAAACCTACACAACGAAGAGAGAGAGAGAGAGAGAGAGAGATATATATATATATATATATGTATATATGTATATATATAAGATATTCCGAGATGGCTTTGTCTGAGCTGCATTGGCACCATACTAAACCACGCACGTGAGGCAAACCTCAGCACGTGACGACCCCCCAAGCAGACTCAGAGAACAGCGGTCTTCACAAAAAGACAGCAGGCTTAATAATTTATTTTTTTTCTTGTTTAATAAAGAGCTTTAAAACTCGGCGAACTCCAGTTTCTGTGACACGTTCGAAGGTCACAAACAACGCATACAACGCACACAGTTAGGACTCGGACATCCGATTTGCACATCAACTGTCGGTGTGCCTCCCATGGAGCCACTTTGGTCGCGGTGTGAGTGTGCTTCTCCAAGTATTGTAGAAGCCGGGACGTCCGCCCCTGACGATGTGCGGTCTACAGGCGGGCCAAATACAAATTACAACTACGAGCACGATCTGGACACGGCATCACCAAACGCGAGATGCAGATCAAGTCTGCGCAGGCCTCCAGACATGGATCCGCCTGACCTTCGCCGGCTTACTTTCGGAATTCTGAGCGAGCTTCTAAAAACCAGCGGTGCTCAAGCCCGCGTTTAGGTCAAGTTTGTTGAACCAACACAATCAGCACCGACGGCTGCAAGCATGCTGAGGTGCCGGCGGTCGAAAGCCTTCCTCAGCTTCAGATTGCTGTGCATGTATGAACGCCCCTGATGCGCAGCAGGCTGCCAAGCTTTTGCGAGACTCCGACAATGTCGTGTCGAACCATACAAACCCGCCCAATCTGAATCTCTGTCCTGAAACACAGGCCGCCTAAACATGCACTACTGCCCGATCGTGCGATTGAGGTCCCGCCACAAGAGTCCGAGACTTGCAAACGTTTGTGCGAACGAGTGCAGAGGTAAGCATGCTAGGGCAACACCGTCTGGTTCAGGCAGTCATCATCACCAGTATCATAGACAAACAACGGCTGTGACTAGAGAACGACAAAAACAAGCTGCAATAGCTACAACAGCCATTTTAGTAGCATCAATGGGGACAGAAAAAGCTATAACCCATAAGAAGGAGTGATCGCAGGAACTGAGCCTGAGGCCGGAAGAAGTCCAGCATCTTGCCGGAGCTTTTGGCTACTTGGAAGGCCTGCAGACGCAGATGCAGAGCCGTTGAGGCCCTCGACTTCGGGGGTCTTTAAAGAAGATACCTATGGGCGGACGATACCTCGAAGAGATCCTCGGAGGATCAAGGCTGCTCTTCGAAGCCCGGATAAAGCTCAAAAAACAGCAGATTTTTTCCCCAAGCTGATTCTTACTGGACTCATCTCCCAGGTGCGAAAGGACCACAGGCTTGTCACCTGCCTGCCTTTGCATCTACAGGACCTTTTCCCGGGTCTTGCAGTCCAAGCTCCCCATCTCGAATCTGGGTGCCTCAAGTCACCCGTGCCGGCGCCAGGGATCCGGGACATACTGCGGTCCCGCTGTGCCGTAGAAGGAAGTCGGCGGCGGCGGCGGTGGGGGCTGCCGGTTCAAACGTCCACAGCCGGTGATGAAGCACAGCACCACCAGTCCGATAACCGGCGTGCCAAGGAAGAGGTAGAAGTTGGTCCAAACAGTAGCCGCATCATGCGCCAAATCCTTGTTGTACCAATCCTCAAAAACCTGGTTTTGCATGCTTTGCGACATTCGGGTTCCTGTGCTGGATCGCGACAAGCATTGCAACAAGTGCTTTCGAGAGTTCGCTTTGTGAACCATTGGAACCCGGGTAAACAAGCAGAAATACCGGCAGTTCTTCTCGGCAGCTTGGTTTTCCTTGAGCGCACAGCGCGTGGCTTCGTCTGAGTGAACCTTCCAAAGCTCAATATTCTTCTGTTTGACGTGCACGAAGCCTTCGTCCAAAACAGACTCAAGGCTCCTTAGGGCACCCCGGTGCGCATCGGTATCTTGAAGGTCGCGACCCTGCTCATCTAGCAGCTCTCGGATGCTTGCTGCTAGCTGCCTGTGCTCCGCAGTGAGGTCTGTCTCCGAGGCAGGCATCGCCAAGTGGGTCTTGCGTGTCTTGTACGAGCTGACACATCGCTCCAAGGCTGTCCGGAAGTGCGCGCTGAGCCGTTGATCATTGGCGGCACTGTACCTCGCCATCCTGTTTTCGTACGTCTCTGTTTGGACCAAAGCCTTGTGTGTTTTGTGGTGGCTTAGAAGCTTCATCCACTTGTGTCCTGCCAGTTTGTCCTCAAATGCTTGCCAGCATCGTGATTGCACAATGGACTGCAGCTCCTTTAGCTGCGTCTTGCCCAACAGCTTGTTGCCCACCAGCTTCAACTCACGGTCAACTGCTTCATCAGCAGCGGCAACGGCTGCTTTGAAATGCTGCATTATCTCCCGTTCGTTCTCCAGCTCGCGGGCACCTAGCATTGTGTGCAAGTCTACACTAAGCTGGCTTGCCGGATCCTGTGCAAAGGTTGGCATAGAAGCTGCCTTGCCATGAATAGGACTTGGCCCTCTCGCTGCAAAGACTTGAAGCTTTGCATTAAAGTCGCCCACGATCTTGCGGATACCTTCCTCTCCACTCTTTCTGAATAGGTCAGGGTCGAAAGGAAGCTCGCGCTCTGCCAGCAACCGGCCAAAGCTTTCTTTCTCCCTCACAATGCCTTCGTTTGTCCATCGTTGTACTCGCTCATGATACAAGAGAAGCTTGTGCTGAAAGTGCACTGCCATCCTTTTCCGGAGCTCCGGTATGTCTTGGGTGACATCGAAGTCTCTCAGCAGTTCCACATAGAACTGAACTGACCTGGTCCTGGCCTCCTCTACCTTGTCGTTGAAGTCTCGCAGCGGGATGGGGTCTTCACCCTGATCAATGCTGGACATGAGTGATGAAAACCAGGTATCGGCGTCTTGAAGGGACATCTCGGCAACCTGGCAACTGCATTTACAGGCTTGATATATGGTATTGAAATTTGCTGTCATAGGCTCCTACAATGGGGACGATCATCACCCCTTTCCTGGGCACTCACGTAACGCCCCCTTAAGACCATGCCCAGCCGCTTGTTGTGTCCAGGTCGTCCAGAGTGATGGTAGCTCATGGAACATGCCACGTTGTAGGCCCTGCACAATGAATCGTAAAGATCTCTCCAAAGTTCGGCCCGTCATGGGCTCGCCTTCGAAGGACCGAGCGTGCAAGCTGGAGAGGACGTGCGTTTTCAACTCTTTCAGCTCCTTCTTGAACTCGGGCGTGAGTTGCGACCATTGAAGCTTCGAAAGGTCCTGTAGCTCTGGCTTTGACGTCGCTGGCAAGAACAAGGTCTTTACCTTCACGCTGCTGTACAACTTGGAAAGGATATTCACTTCCTCGCCTGAGGTATCGTTAACGTGAGACCTGGCCGGATTCAGAAGCCCTATGAAAAGTAAATTCTTATGGGTTATATATAGTTATATAGGGATTCTAATCCTTAAAACCTAAAAATATCTAAAACTGATTTCCAAGAACAGCCCAGAGACAAGTAGGACTTGAGCCAAGCGGTGGCCGGATCCGAGGAGTGCGAATGAACCTCAGGCAGCTCCTGCACGAAGTCCTCGACCACCCATGTCCTCTGCTCTCATCGCAACAAAACACACACTTTCTTGCGCTATATTTTTGCCTCCCGCCTGGCTAGGACGAACCCTTCTGCTATATAGTATCCCTATCATGGTAGCTTATAGTATCCCTATCATGGTAACTTCAAAAAAGCCGATAACAAGGACCCAGTGTCAAGGGCGGAAAGCTTCTCACACTCAGGAACTCAGGCGTCTCAAGATTCGCCTGCTCCTTGGATGTTCGGGTTCGGAAAAGTTGCGCACGGCGGGCCAACATCTCCAAAAGGTTGACTGCCTGTTGGTCGATGATCTTTACGGTGTTGTACACCAAGTGGCCACCCAGAAGTGTTGCAATGGTGAAGACCTTGGCATCGTAGCTCTCCGCCACGCCTGGCCCGAAAAAGCCTTCGGAGTCCATTAACCAAACCTCTGACCCATCACTTGCTTGCCACTCTGTGCGACACAACCAGATCCCCATGGTCTCTGGGGATGTCTTCCGACCGATGGAAAACACCTGTGTGTCACCCAACAGCGCGTTCAGCAAAAAGCTCTTGCCCGAGTGGAAAGGGCCGACGACGGAGATAATCGAGATGCTGCTCGGATGTCGAGCTAATCTTGCCAACCCTTCTGGGACTGGCAGCATCGAAGAATGGTTTGCAGTCGGCCTCACCACCTGGAAGGGTACCTTGAAAGGAACTTCCGAGATGCATAGTTGTATCAGCAAGAAGGCTGACAACCATCGACCTCTGCATTGAATCATCTTGCGACAAGAAGACAGTCGAGCATTAGTTGCATGCAACTTATGTTTTCTGAATCTGAGCAAAATTCACTATGCCCTCAAACTGCTTCATCGTGTCACACTGACTGGTGCTTTACCTGGCAGACTATGCCGTGTTGTGAAAAGAATTCTGCCATGTGTCGTTCTGCTTGAGCCTATATGTTTAATTCGCTTCGCTTCGTCACCTGCTTAGTGGCAGCCAATGAAACTGCGTAAGCACCTGCACAGGGGACCCAAATTTCAGCTCAGTGTTTACCCATAGGCCCCATAGTAGCTCCTTCTTGGGATTACCTTATAGAATTCAGCCATCCTTTCATGAGCCGAAGCTGAACTTCCAAGTGCCTCCAGCAGTGCGCCTGGGGCGGACCGAAGCAGGGCATTCGCTCCTGACGCCGAACGGTCCCAGAAGCATATATATATATATATTATATCATAGTCGTGGGTATCATGTCTTCTCAATCCCACCAACGGCGATCCGGCATCGCGGAAAAACGAGAGAAAATTCCATGGCTCAAGACAGTGGCCGAATGATGTCGCATGACGAACGATGGCAACAATACATCCCTCCAAACACGCATCTTGTCACTGTAGCTCTTAATTATCACCAACGAGTGCAAACGCACAAGCAGGCGAACGCACCTTCACGATTTCCATGCATCGTCATGCCACAGGCGCGCTCGAGAAGTTGAACGCCTGCTCAGGTGCGTGGCAGCAGTTCAAGCTTGCTTCGATATTGCAAAGGTCTCTCATACAAACGATACTAAACCATAGTACACCACACTTTCTTTGATATGCCCTGTCGTGCCATGCTGTACGGTGTTATAGTAGCAAGTTGCAAAAGCACACAGGGTATAGCGCATAGATGAACGCAGCTGCTGCATACTTGCAAAGCATTCGCATACTGCGAGCATACACACAGATATATGTAGATGCATACGCGAATACACTACTCTGTGTGTGTGTGGTTTCCTGTGTATATATATATACATACAGATATGTATATATATATATATAGATATGTATGTATGTATGTACGTACATAGAGAGATAGATAGATGAATGTATAGATGAATGGATAGATAGATCGATAGATAGATAGATAGATAAACAGATAGATAGATAGGTAGATAGATCGGAGTAGATAAGCATAACTAGATTCACTAGATATGCATAAATGTATATATACATACATATATATATATATACACGCACGTTTGTGTGTGCATGCATGTTCGCGTGCTTGTTTACAAACACAAAATGCACTCGTAGCTTTCCGTTCACATTTGCCACGGGCCTGGATTCCGGGTGAAGACCTCGCCGTTGTTCTGCAGCGTTATCTCCTCGCACTGTGCGCAACCTCAAACAAACATAAGGATTCGGACAGCTTTGGGAAGCCATATGGGGAATCCCAGAGTAAACCCCACACTGTGAACCATACCCATGCTCCTCGACTAAGGAATGAAGCTTGGCGAAGCCAAGGATGGTCAGGTAGATATACCTTCAGGAAGCAGGTCGGAGATTGCTTACGTATGTACCTACCTACCTACCTACCTACCTACCTACCTACCTACCTATCTACCTATCTATCTACATGTGAATGTGTGTATGCACACATACATACATACATACATACATACATACATACATACATGTATACATGCATATATGTATGCATGCATGCATACATAACATGCATACAACTGTTGTATATGTTGTAAATAACTATATATGTGTGCACACCAGCAAGTTGCACATACACGCACATCTGAATAATGTGTGCATATATACGGTCATAGGTGTATATATATATATACACATAAACGCATACAGAGGTCTAGATATAGTGCTATCTTATTATACTCTCTTACCGTATCTTATACTGTGTTATAGTATATTACGCTATGTCGTATTACATTATCACACCATACTATGTACTACTGTATATCGGTTTATGTCATGTTCCCAAATATTCTACTTATTCTATTGTATTGCATGGTGTCAGGTTGGTATACCTATAGGCTACTGTATAGACATTACATTACAACATGATGTTATACACGATTCTACTATACCATACTAACGTACTTGTTGTTATGGATATATAACAAGTGAGATACGCACGGTTGCTGGGAATGTAGGAGCAAGAACATGCATAATACTAGCAGCAATAGGAACAACAATCATAATAACAGCAGTCATGATAATCATGGTCACCGTCATGATCACCATCATGTACCGCCAGCGTCATCATCTTCATATTTCTCTGTATACATGTATGTATGCATATATGTATATGTACATACATGCATACACACACACACACATACCTACGTACATACATGCATACGTACGTAAGTACTTGCGTACATCGAGTAATGTCTGCAACACCAGCCCAGTGCAGGCAGGCGTCTCGAAGTCTGAATATCCGGCGCAGAAGTCCTCTCTTGTGATCTTTTGCCTCAGTCAGGTCCTACGGTTTCCGGCTCAGGGAGTTCAGGGTTGGACCTTCGCAACTCGGACAATCGAAGCAACATCACACTTCTCGTGATTCGTCGCGCTCGCTTCTTCTCTCGCTACCTATAACGTCCTCTGCAAGACGGGTGAAACTGTCTTTTCTTCTCAGCAATGCACGAGTGCCACGTCTCACGCCCCTTCTTGCTCAGCAGCCACTGGACCAGAGTCCAGGGGCTGCATGCGCCCGGGTTGAAGGGGAACATCTTCTTCAGATCTTCCGAGCGAGGTTGAGCATCGGGGACAGCTGTTGGGTTGCCAATGGTGGAAGACCAGACGGCCGACACAAACTTCGAGCAGAACATGGCCTTCGGCTTGATCCGGCGGGCCCTGCCGTCTTTGTTGCTGACATGTGTACGGAAGTTGTCCCTCATTCCTTCGAAGAAGCCTTTCTCAGTGTCATTCACGCTCGGGATGTATTTCCACATCTCCTCGACCCTCTCTGGGGTGACAGCTTCGAAATATTCAGACTTTCCGGGTGTGGCCAGCCATGACTTGCAGTGACCGACAACCACTCTGTGCCACTGCCCAACCGTGGCTGCATAGTGCTTGGTAAGATACGGCTGCCACATGCGCGCCCGTTCAGCAGCTAGCTTCCGGTAGGCAGCCGCATTGACAGTTCCGTCTCCAACGAAGCGTGACACCACGATTTGTCCAGAATTCCCACATACCCGACTGGCACCTTGGTAAACACCAAGGTTTGCATACGCAGAAATGGAATAGCCATCACCAATGCCCATCTCCGTGTGCGTCCATTTCGTCTGATTCGTGTGAGGGGTGGTCTGCCGGACGTGCGCGTAGATCCTCGCTACCCCAGCACCGGTCCAGATACCCATCTTCCGCAAGACCTTTCCGGCATTCTTCGTCATGTCCCACAAGAACTTGCCGGCGTTCGCAGCAAGATCCGCCAGACCCTTCCCTGCTCGCACGATTGTGTTCAGCGTGTGCTTCCAGGAGAGTTCGAAGATTCTACCCACCTTTGAACCAAAGGTGCGATTCTTGAAGGTCACGTCCGAAGTCGTGTTGAAGGTTTGCGAGTAGTCAAAGTGTGGGCCGTAGGAATAGTGGAGTCGTAACTCCAAAGCTTCAGCTTCCCATGCAAAGTCGCCGGAAATCTCCTGAAAGTCCGGCCCTCCGTCCTCGAATGTCAGGAAGTCCCCGTCTTGTATGCGAAAATCGGCGGGGCACACTGGGAGGGGAGTTCCATCGTCTGCGCCCATGTCGTTGTCGTCTTGCGGGACCAATTTTGACACTTTTTCGGTGACGACATCTGCAAGCTTCTCTTGAAGGATTGCCAACTCATCGTCGTACTTCTTGTACTTCGTCGGACGATCCTTCTTCAGCTCCTCGATCAACTGGTACAAGGCAGCAGCATAGAAATCGAGCTCTTCCTCCTTGCAGTTCGAGCTCAGCACTTTGATCAAGGGCTCCATGCTGGAGGTGCCCCAAAACTTGTACCACGCACGACCATTGTAGGTTCCGAGCTTGCTGTTGTCGGCGTCGTCGCCATGCCCCACGCCCTTGAGCTTGTTTACCCAGTCCTCGCAGTGCCCATTGTGCTCCGAGGTCGTGAGGTAAAGCCAGCGGCAAACGGATTTGCATCCCGGCTCCCGTGTGTCGCCTTCCAGGCAGGCAACTGGCTCCTTCTCCCCCGAAGTCTTTGCAGAGTTGCGGAAGCCGGCACCTTCGGAAATCAAGCTGAGGAGAACGACAAAGCATAAGAGAAGGCCATGAGCACGGATGCACATGGCTTCTGGATTCGCCAGGCGAAACGGGCTGCCGAGGTGTAGTGGCTCGGCTTGAGCCGTAGCCATTGAAAGGGTGAGGGCAGAGTGTAGACTACAGAGTATGTTAAGTATGTTATACCATACCCTACTCTACTCTACTATTCGAAGTATACGCGTCTAGACTAAACCAGTCTATACTAGACTCTTCTATACTATACTATTCTATTCTGTATTCTGAACTGCTCCATGTTTATATATTCTTCTATCCTACACTATTCTAGACTCTAGACTGTTCTAAACTGTTCTATGTTTATATATTCTTCTATCCTACACTCATCGATCTTCCGATCTGGGAGATTCCTCAGGTCCGAGCTCGAGGTTTGGCCGCTCATGGAAATGCTTCAAGCCGCCGAGGCTGCCCTTGTGCCTTACCACGGGGCACCGTGTATTTTGCCTTTTTGGGGGGCCGTGTTAGGGTTTGGGGTTTCGACTCTAGGGTTTAGAGGGGGGTCTGAAGATGTTAGGGGTACCGTTTTTGTGCCCAGGTTCCAAGCTCACAGCGAGGTTACATAGGAGCCATACTGGCAAGTCTACAATTTGTGCGTCGCTGGCACGAAACCCTGTTGACTATGTGCCGGCTCGTCAAGCAAAGCGGCATCCACAGAGCTGCGACGATCTCCATGAACAGCGGCGAGAGACTTCTCTCCTGCAAATAGCAGATCGAGTCAGACTCACAGCCGTCACCGGGGTCCGAACCAGGTGGGAGTCAACCATCCCCAGCACACCAACTGTTGGCAAACGTTTGTAAACGGCCGCAAGGATGCTAACGGCAATCCTAAACATATTATAGGGGAACAAATATTTTTTCCCCCAAAAGTATTTGTTCCCCTATAATATGTTTAGCCCAGTTTAGTTCGGGCGTTTCTTGTGCTACTCTGCTCGTCCCTTCCGTTGCCAACCTGCAACCTGTGCACGGCCAAGCATTACCGGGTCCTCCTCGCTGAGGCAGGAGATATCAATATCCTTTGCGGTGAATTCTCGAGTCTCGCGGACAAACTACATGTGCCACACGTTTTTGCATGTTTCTCCCTCCCCGAACTATTCGACAGCCCGGCGACCACGGTCTCAGCGAGGGTTGATGCGGTGGCTCCCATGGCTTCCCCGTCCAAGGACGAAAAGGGCCGCTTCTCCCCCATCCGAAAAGGGAAAGGGAGGCTGCAAAGCTCTGTTGAGGTCGTCTCGATGGCTGTGCTCTCCGATCTTTGTGTGGTTCTTTAGCCAACTTTCAGAAGACTCAGGAAAACAATGAGGTTCATGCAAGAACTGCACAGTTTCGTTGGTGGGATGGGCTTTCCGCCATGTTTGTTTGGCAGCCTTCTGAGACTAAAAGCTGTGAAACAGAAACGACACGCGGACCTGCAGCCTTTGCCTCCATGTTCCTTTTGGCGACCAGCTGCACAGCACAGTGATATGACTCCTGCTTCTTTGCATGCCTATGCTGCATGGGACAGCTGAGAATGCCGCCCGAGCCGGCTGCCGTACATTGCCACAAGGAAGCATATCCGTCGGACTAGCGTGCTCTATCAATGCGCATGACATCTACATATCACAAGTCGTCATTAGACCCGAAACAGTGACAGTCCCCTACATACTCCAGATCCAATCCGGGGGCGCATGCTCCAAGACCACAAATGCGGCGGAAGCATGATTGGCAACCCAGAACAGGCATGGCACCGCGGCGGGAAGGAGAGCCACACCTACGCCTTTGGAGGGGGAAACACAGCCCACACCCAACACAAACAAGGCCCGAAGAGCCGAATAGGATGGCCAGCCTAGGCCAAAAAGCGGACACTGTCGCGCAGATCCCATGCTCACACCATGGGAGGGCGGGTGTCGGCGGGGCGGCAATGACGCGGCGAATAAACGAGCAGCGGATTGTTGGATTCTACGCTGAGTTCGGCCTCTCCAGCGGCCGGAAGACGTGGGATTGTGGAACTGTAAAAATGCGATTGTGGCCGAAAAGCGGCATCGCACCAGTGGCAGTCTCAGAACCGAGGGTGCCTCGGACAGAGATCTAATCTAATCATCTAATAATCTATATAATATATAATATATAATATATAATATATAATATATAATCCCTTCAATCTGAAGATTGGAACTCCGTACCCTTTCCTGCTCATTCTTCTGCCTTGAGGCACAACTGCAGGCAAGCAAAGAAGGCCACGGCGTGAATACCAAACCATGAACTCTGTCTACATGCATGTGGAGAAAAATTCTAGCTTCTCTGCATATTGACACACGCCGCTGTAGATTGCTTGCTCGCGCGTCTTGGCCTGCAAGGCACGGCCCAAGGCGAGCTGCTCCTGAACCTCATCTGCCTGCAGGAGAAAAGCTGCTGGAGGACTGGCCAGCCTTCAACTTCACTGCCTCTGAAGCTGAAAGAGCTTAGATTAGCATTGTTACTGTTCCCATTATTGGTACTACAGTATCACTATCGCTTTGATAACTACTCTCATTGCTACTATTGGGTTATTAAAGTAGTTCATTGCTAGACTCGCTTCGGCGGCTCGTTCAGGCGGTGTCTGAAAGAATGAAAAGACTCGTGGGCCTCGTCCCCTAAGGTGCGCTGCATGCATTGGGCAGCGAGTCTCAACTTGCATGGTCAAGCAAGCAGAAACAACGAGGTCAGCATCGTGATCAAGCCCTGCGGATTCTCCTCCTAGAGGTCCTAGCGCGATCTACGATGATGAATGCGAGTCTTGTGTGACAGCGTGACGAATACAAATACGTAAATATGGGCTACGAGAGCTGCTCTACTGTATATCCGATGTGAGCAACGCAAACCAACACTATCTCGTCAGTGAATCGTCGCTACTAGTCTGAAGCCTTTGGGCCGGATGCTGTCAGCGATAGAGCGCCGGATGACCGCAACCACAATCAGATCTTTACATCAGCTGAGAAGGCGCCGCCGCGTGGGCATCGGTTCAGTCGCCGCTTTTGCTCTGCTGCTGGCTTTGGCAGCTCGGCCGACATACACCTGCATGATCTTAAGTGCTCGGCTCTCGTTCGCAAGCACTTCAGGAGATGGAACACTCCACATCTGGCCTCACGCGCTGGCGCTGAGAGGCACTTTCTTCATTGCTGCTGAAGCATACTCAACTCTGTCGTGACCCGCTCGGTAGGTAGGTCGAGCGCTCTTCTGTTTCAGCAAGTCGTTGCGCAAGCACCTCAAGGGAGACAGAGTATCTTGTACATGGTTCTGGCAAGCATGTCAACCTCATGCTAAGCCCCCCGGTCGATTTCAAGCCCCGAGCGGGACGGTTGACTAGTCACGGTACTACTATTTATTTGAGGGGGAAGTTGATAATTGACTTTTCGGACTCGAGTTTGTGCAGGTTGGCAGTATTCCGCGGTGCAGTGTCGCACCACAGAGCTGCAGTCATTCAACGGCACGGCTTCTTTGCAAATGCCGGTAAAGAACACAAAAAGACGAGCAAGCCAAAATGATGAAGTCACAGTCGAGCCTTCGAGATGGCTTGGGCAGTTCTCTCCGGCTTGGGGGAGAAGAAAACCTTAGGAAAGTGCGATGACTATGAGTAAGAGGTGCAAAGCCAGAGATGGTCTACCGAGTGCAGCCGAGTGGCAGTGTGGACTACCTCCGTGGAGTCTTGAGAGGGCCCCTGAAACTCCAACCCAGCTTCTAAGCATTCACAGAGCCCCTTCTTCAGACCGGGCGATGAGGGAGTTTCCGAAAATTAGAGGTACCCTATTTTGGGGTCCTCATATTAAGGATCCTATTATTTAGGGTACTATATTAGAAGCGAGCCTCCTCAAACCGGAGATCGAAGAGGCCTCCATTTGCAGCAACGGGCCGGGTCGACAGCTTTGCGCCCCAGCCACGAGGCCTTTGGCAAAGTGTCCCATCCGAGTAGTGCAAAATGGGTTTAGGGAGGATTTCACTACGGATATAAGTCGGGTACGAACAACCCCCGAAATTGATACCAGCGTGACCAAACAATGACAAGTCTTAGGGTCTAGGGTTTGGGAGGATTTCACTACTGATAAGTCGGGTACGAACAAACCCAAAATTGATACCGGCGTGACCAAACAAGTCAACTACCAATCAACGGAACGAGGGACCGAATGAGGTCACAGTTCAACCCCGGGGCCACAAGGCCAAGGACGGCCTCCAAGATTCCAAAACATCGAGCCGGCCGAAACCCCAAGCAAACAAACAACTGAGCTCGTGCTCCGATGCTGCGATGTCCGGCGCTTTTGGTACTCTTCGACTAACGGACAAGACCTCCTATCCCATCGACTGTACCATCGAAGATTTATAGATCCATCTAATGTTCAATGCTGGACGAGGCTCACTCGAAAGGACACACGCCAATCTCCACGGCTGCCCTGGCATATGGCAGGAGCCAGTTGAGAGTGCTGTCTCCGACGTTTCAGTTTCTGCCAAACAGTGGTGGTGGCTCGAAGATTGCGCAGCCCTGCTGTGCGTCAAAGCTTGGGTTGCCACGTGGGTCGCAGCTTTTTCGGGGGTCGTTTCTAACCTGTCTGCCAGGCAGGATCCTCACTACCAACAGGCTCAATAGACTGCCGCGTAGCAGGTTTGCTAAGGCCCAGGATTGTCTGAAACTCACGTTTAGCCAACAAGCCTGACTTCTGTGTATCCGCTGCACGGGATTTGGAGGAAAAACACGTTGCTGTCCTGCTGCGGTTTTGCTTACCGTTTTTGTCAGCCAGGACCCCTGCAAAGCACACGAGCGTACAGCAAGCAACCGAGACAAGCACAATCACTGGCCTCCGGCTGCAGAGTGAACGGCACAGCGACGTCCTTCGAGAAGCACACACTTGAGTCGCGAAGTGCGGAAACCAGGATACTGCGCAAAACGCTCGACTAATTACCAAATCACAGACACCATCCAAGTCTGCTCCATCAACAAGACCAGCATCAGTACCCGAGCCACAGCCCCCCTAGCTGTCGTCGTCGCCGTGGTCGTCGTCATTATCATCCTCCAACTCATGGCCACTGCTGCGGCGACAATGGTTAGCCGGATAAGTATACTGCAGGAGCACACTAACTCCACAACTTCCGGTGCTGTCGCCATACTGCTAGAAGTATAATGGTCTGGTAACGTCGTCTTGTCGTACGTTCAGTATGCCCACCCCCCACGCGGGGCACGGAGGCAAACCGCGAGAATCGACTATACTCGTACAGTGCAGAACAGCCAACCGCCAAGCGGTGGCAGGCATCATTTAAGGAACATGGCCTACCGGAGATTCTGATTTGGTGTTGCTCTAGCCGAGGATGCGCAAGCCGCAAGATGGATTGGCTGATTGGCTGTTCGGCCACATCAAATCGGTGGCTGGCACTAGTAATGTTTAAGGCACTCAATCAAGTTAAGTACAGCACGGGAAGAACAAGGCAACACAAATTGCCCGAGGGCCTCTCGGTCGTTCCACAAGAAAATGCTTCCTTTCTGCTGTGCGATTTGGTACTGTCGGGCAATGCATCTGGTCAGTGACAATAGGCCCAAACTATGAATGTTCAACACAAGCCATGCTTTCCCTGCCTCCCGACGTCAGGTGCGCGACAGACCCCAGCATCTCCGAATCTGAACAAATGAATGAAACCTTGCGTGCCTCGACAGAGAGGCGCCAATGCCTTGAGCACTTCTGTGTTCTCCACACCGGAAAACGCGAGAGTTTGCGTGTTCGGATCGCAACAGACATTTTACTCTTCTGTGATGAATAACCCTGCCTCAATTCATTTCCCCGAGGCTGCCATTTTCGCTTCCGGCGCCCAGCACTGAAAAAGGAACGGGTCGGCGTTTCATTTCTGTTGCGTATTAGGCTCGTACGAAATCTACGGATCACATCTACGGAGGACCTTCGCTTCCTCCCTCCGAAGGTCCGAGACGACCGGAAATTTACAAATCCGGACACCGGCTGCAGCCCCGTTCTCTGATCGATGATGTGCACTTCTTGTAGAATCATGGACAAACATACCCACGAAGAAGTAAGCGCATAGTGATAGCAAGCATCACACGCAGAACAACCAGAGCGACTCTTCATTTGCCGCTTACATTTGTGGATCATGCTCACTCGGCTTTCCTATCTCTATTTGACAATCTTTTCTCTCCTTGGGTTCTGCATCCTTCGCATCCAATGTGCTTGATGCCATGGCGGTTGGCGGCGATAGAACATGCAGCGGCTCCATAGGCTTGGCTCCAAAACTAGCTCACCAGTGGAGAGACCATGAATCGACTCGGGAAGTTTCTATTTCTGTCTCCTCGGAAGCCAAAGGATCAGACTGAATCAGACTGGCCAGGTTCCGCACAGGACATGCCGGGCAGCACATGATCTCCTTTTTGGCGCACTTTGCCTCACAGACTCAAGTCGGGAGAGTCTCCTTCCGATTACAGGATCCTTCGGATCGAGTCAAGAAGAGCTTCCATGCCCTGAAGCCTGCAACTTCCTTGCTTGGATGTCTGAAAGATACCCCTGGCGCGCACAATCGGGTGGAAGATGTAGGCTTTAAGGCAACAAAGAAGCCCGGCAGGAATGTTGAGGGCAAGACAGGCCTGAAATGCCCACGAGCCACGTCGCTCCATTCAACGCAGCGGGTCTTTGCAAGAGCCGTGTCCATGAATCCTTGAAGCCTTTGGCTTCAACACCTCAAATCCCTGGAATTGGCGACCAGTTCAGCGACCTTTCGCACGAGGTCTCTGAAAGCAGGTCTGGGGTCCTGCGGCACTTTGGAGTGAAGAGCTGCGAGCCGCTAAGATCTTAAACTTTAGCGGTCCCGCAGCTCTCCACTGGCTTAGACGAGAACCGAAGCCATCTTTTAAACATCCCGCTAGACAGCGTTTCCCGTAAAACTGATGCAGGTCTACAACATCCTGCGCCACTTTGGCAGCAAGCGTACTTCGCCAAACCCCAAAAATGTTCTCTGCACTTTGGCCGATGCCTTACCTCGGCAGAATAGAGACAAGATAAAAGCACAGCAAAACCCGGCGTGGCTATGGCATGCTCCACCCACAGCTCCTCTTAGGAGTGCATGGGCATACCCGGCACTGAGTCTTGCAAGAATATTTCCTCATCGACGTTCACACCAGCGTCCCCCTGCATGCATCAAGACACTTGGCTAAACGCAAGGCAGCGAGTTAGCATTGGGCATGCGGACGGCTAGGAAGACTCCCAGATGCTGCCAGTGTAGTGTTATTATTAAGGCGGCACCTGCAGCCGCAGCTTCATCGCCTGGTCCAGGTATAAGTTTGGCAGGACTGCCTCTATCTTATCTCTATGGCTGAAGGATGATCTAAATATTACTTGCAACCGAGGTGAAAAGACTAAGCCGGCGACGCACTCTGCAGCTGGACAGAGCTGAGGGAATTTTGGCGGGGCATCTGCTTCCTCGAGAAGCCAGCTGAAGCTTCCGCAGAACAGCAACGTCAAGAATCAAGAACAGAAGTGTTAGACTCAGGCTCGATGAATTAGATATACCAGTCCGTTGACCATGACTTCAGTCCATTGTGCGTCTTGGGTCATCTGGGGTCTGGGTCATATTCTAGCTGCCAAAGTCTCGAATGTCTGGCTGAGTAGGAAGTCGTGCTGGCAGCACTGCTGGTCCTGCGCGGGCAGCGGCCCGTTGATGGATGTATCAGGTTACTTGGAGGATCATGGGACTTAGTAAATAGGGTTATAAGTAAGGTAACTGGAGTTATAAATACTTATAACCCGAATTAGGGTACTTATAACCTGACTTACTAAGTCCCATGATCCTCCAAGCAAGCCTTGTCTTCTGATGCTTCTCACGAAGACGTCCTGCGCGAAGCTGAAGCGGTTCCCGACGCCTCTGACCCAGACTTCCGGCTGCGCTGCGCGCGCTCTGCGGAGTGTGATGGGGGCCCCTGCGCCTGCTGCGGTTCTGTGAGAAGGGATAGCCGATAGCCTTACTGGGGTTGCTACGTGCATTAAGGGGTCGCAGCGCGGATAAACAAAAGCCGCACAAACCTCGGAGATGGGCAGCGTGCAAAAGTGGAGCAAAGTTTGGGAGGGAGGTCGTAGGAATCCGGCAAGCCCGTGTCACAAGTTTATGATGGGATTCAAAGATTTGTTTTGGAACAGACTGTCGGCGCATGTGCTGCGCACATAGAAGCCATTCTGTGCTCTGCAAACCGTGAGTACTGCGAACATGCCTCACAGTGGAAGCAAGGCACTGCGAACGGAACATCGCCGACGGTTCAAGTGAAAATCGTAAGTACTCTTACATTCGGCATGCTTTACTATGTCTTGTCCTCAGGGTGCGTATTAAGGTCCTCCGTTACTTCCCAGCATTCCCACTTCCAAGATCGGCGTAGGGTCCCGCCTTCGAGCACTTCGGCGGAGTCGAGCTTGGCCGTCTGCCTTCAGGTGCCTTTCAGGACCAGCGACTAGCGGGTCGCTTGAGGATGCTTTTTCCGACTCGCATGGCTCGGACCGATGCCCATAGCGAGGCGTCTTTGGGGTGTAAAAGTAAAGGTGTAGGGCGTAAGGCTCCATGGAGGCTCACACTAGTTTGGCTATACGCCAGTACGGGCCATAGAAGAGGATGGCGTATACGGTGTACAGTGCATGCATGGCACCTCTTGCAAGTCCAACTCCATCGCGGAAACTTGCTCTGCAGGCTCATTCTGGCGGCGCTGAGCGATGCCCTGAGACATGAAGTAGGGGCGATTCGACTCGAAGGGCGACCTGGCATTCCAACACACAGCCTGCCAATCACCATGTCTTGGCTTGCTTCGCTGCAGCTGAAGCACTTCATCCACTGCGGAGCCCCAACAGAAACGATGCTGAGGTTCCTCAGCCACGCAACACGCATGGACCTTGATGTCTGAAAACGGTTGAACTCGATATCATCATCCCGAACGCTCCTAACTACATCCTGCCACATCATACCGCCCATGCTTGCGCCTATGCCAGTGGTGCATGTTCCATGTGGCAACAGGGACAAGGAAACCACTTCGCATCAAAGCTTAGGCTCTGGATCTTGCCCTCCTGTCACAGTGTCGAGTCATGGCAACTGACAAAGCTGGTGGCAGATGCAGCATCTATACATCCTGCCTTACGTTCTGGCTGGGTCCACCAAATCGAATCCGCTGCTCAAATTGCGAGGGCTGGTGTTGTATCTAAGGGAGACACACACACACACACACATATATATATATATATATACACACACCCATGGACTCCTCGTTCTTGACTTGCTTGAAGACCTGCTTAGGTCTGACTGGCACCCTGCGACCAGCGACGAAGTTTTCCTCATGCTCCTGGACAGGACTCCGATTCACCTCACCAGCCCCACACTCTCTGCCTGTGGCCGAGATCCGAGTCACAAGGGCCGCGCGGCCTCATACGACATGGCCTTCAATTTCTCAGCCACCCCTTGCTTCTCGAAAAAGGATCCTTAGCTGTATAGGCAGACCTCATCACCATGCACAATGTGGACTTGGGTAATGGCCAGCACACATGACGATTGCTAGACACATTCCTGATAAAGGAAAGGGGCGATTGCTCTCGAAGGGCTGCTTCATCCACTGTGGGCTCTCTACGGAGACAATGGAGTTGTTGGCAACCTTCATGGAAAATGGATCTCAGGACAGGTTTTCAGCACACCATTGACTATCGTGTCTGTAGAAGAAACCGGCCTTTCCAGTGCCCCCATCAACCACCGTGCCCTTTTTGCTCTTTTTGTCCTGCATGGATGGGACGAAACACACATGACTGTAGACTTGCGTGGAAAGTCTGGAAGAATGAACAGCTGCTGCGTCACTTTGAAGGAGACTTCTGGCCGGAGCTGGCCGCGCAATTCTTCTCCCAAGAGCCCGATATTCTCAACTTGGTCCTTCCCTCCCCCGGCCGCAACGTAGCCGTTATCGTAGCCCTTGCGGGCAGAGTTTGGCGCGGACTTCGCTCTCTCCTCCCAGCAGACAAGCCAGGGAGTGGATTGTGGGCTTACCTGCACAGCCCTGGGATCTTCCACTGAGACCCTCCACACGGGAACTCTCAAAGCTTCTGCTCCCCAGTGAAGAGGTGCCTCGTAAGCTTGGCGGTGCTCCAGCCCAGAATCCAAAGGAAAGTCGGGCCTTTGCTGTGCCCAACAAAGGTTTTTGGGGTCTTTACCATGTCGGGCAGGGCAACTGCCTGGCCTCGCAAGGGCATAATTCACTTCGAACTGAGTACTCTGCTCGTCTACATCTGCACAGTTGTATTTGAGCTTGAATTCTGAGATCCACGCTTTTTACACCTAGGCTATGCGCGAGGTCCACCCTAGTTACGAAGCCCAGTGGACCGCAACTACTGGTTCCCGTTCTGATCCCCCTTTACGCTCTCACAACTCGGACCACTTGAGGGTTATAAGCCTTAAAGCTCCGAAATCTGGACCCAAGCTGCGATTGCAGGCTGCTGTAGTTTATGCGGCCAGTCCTCGGGATGAAAAGCTCGCTTCTTTGAGTTCGTGTGTCTCCTTTCTGGGTTTGAGGGTGCGTGGGGGTCTTGCGGTTTTTTTCCCTCTGGTCTTGCGGTTGAGTGTTATGGTTTTGTTGGCGGAAAGTTCAGGCTTAAAATTGCTTTGTTCGGAGTGATTCAAACGCAAGGCTTTTGTTTGGGGGGTTGCAGTCTTGGAGGGGCTTCGATGCATTTCACGGCGTCGGCGGCTTTGCAGTCTTTCGGGATTTCCACTCTCGTCGTGGCTTACTATGTGGTCTAGAGTCTAGAGGCCCGTGGGACCCTGCTCACTCACACTCGAGCCCAGATGAGGTGCGCTCGGGATGAACAATGGCGAGAATCATGGTAGGGAGGCTAAAAAAACCTTTTTCTGCTACTGGGATCTAGTCTAACAGACCATTTTGTAAACCCTAAGCCCTTAATCATAGTAGGGAGGAAGCAGGGAGCCCAAAAATGGTGAAGTCAGTATCTTGATCATCCATGGGACTTTGGTCTCTGGGATCCGACCGGGGTAGAACCCCTCCACCTCTAGCAGACCACAAGTCCTAGTTCTGAAAGTCTTCTTTCGGTGTTTCTGTACGGGTTTTCGGATGTTTTCGGGTTGCAACAGCGGCTCAAGCGGATTTTACGGCAAGAGAAATCTACAGGTACTAATTACTACTGCAATGATAAACTGTTCAAAGGAACATGGCGAAAAGTGTCTTCTGACCGGTATCAAGAGATGGTTAAGGATTCTCCAAGTTCTGTGTCATGCCCTGCTCTCGTAGCACCTTCTTGCCGAGAAGCGATGGATGAATGTTGCCGGTGGCTTTGTTGCGGAAGGACTGGTCCCAAATCCGATGGGTGTCCACCCCGGCCGGCCTGCGGACAAAGCCCGCTTGTAGGGGACCCCCCGCCTGTGTATCTATATATCTGTATCTCTCTCTCTCTCTATATATATATATAAGTCTATCTATCTATCTGTGAGCATACGTATGTATGTATGTATGTATGTATGTATGTATGGTGTGTATGTATGTTACTGTATGAACGTATATATGTATGTTCGTATACATATATATATATATAGATATACATTCATAATATAGATAGGTAGCTATACATGTACGCACATGTACATACATACATGGCTGCATGCATATGTGCATACACTTACATTTAGTACCTTTACATATTACACATTACACATGAACAATTACATGCTTGTGCATGCAAAGAAGTGTATCTAAAGAGATATGTTTATATTTAAGTGTAGATGCACACACACACATATACATATATATATATATATATATGTGTGTGTGTGTGTATATATATATATATATGTGTGCGTGTGTATGTATGTATGTCTGTATGTCTGTCCAACTGGCTCGGCGGCTAGGTGTGCGTGCGTGCACATATAACTATTTCTAACATACATGTACAAATAGATAGATAGATAGATAGATAGATAGATAGATAGATAGATATATATATATATATACATACATACGTTTACACAGACACACACACGCACACACGATGACGGATCTCTCGTAATTATGGGCCTCGACAAGTCATCTGCGGAACGGGCTCGTCGGGGCGTCGCTTCCACAGCCTCCATGGCCGAGGCGGTCTGCATCCACTCGGGAACCTGTTCCTCGGTCATAGGAAGTGTGTATATATATATATATATTTGTATTTATATATATATATATACTTATATATAAATATATATAATTATATACATACAAGTTTATTTGCTATACATAGATATCCAAATTCTCATGGCAATTGTGCACCTGTCTATAGTTTCATGTTTCTGGCCATCTATTTGACCTTGGATATGTCTATTTATGTTCTCTTGGATATCTATATACATCCATACATTGATAGATAAGTGTGCGAGACGATCTCGCTCTCTCTCCCATCTACGTCTACATCTACTGCTACAGCTAACCTACTTATCTAGCCATTATGCATGTATCTATCTAATAGCTATCCAGGCCCTCCTAGGCACTATCTATTTCTCTCTGTCTCTCTCTCACACACACACGCACACACGAGTGCAAACCTTTGGTGCAAGCCGCAGAGACGACAAGGTGCTGCATGCTGTTGGCGGGTCTACCTGCCGTCCCAGCTGGCAAGCACGTACGACAGCTGAGAGGCAGGATGGGTACCGGCACTCCACACTGCCCCATAGCGTCCGAGGGGCTCTTTGCCCGAGGAACCAGGAAAGTGAACCTGCTCGCGTCAAAGGGAGAGCAGGAGTGGAGGTCTCAAGCCTGCAGTAGGTCATGGCTTGTGCGTCTGCGCACGCAAAGTGCAAATGCTTCCTGCCTGTCGTGTCCATCGTTGGCTTGCCAGGCTTTTCATGCGTCGAAATATCTCGCTGCAGGATGTGCGCGATGGCGATAGCGGTAAAGCACACGTGAGCGGCTACGAATTTCACGATGGCAAGCAGCTCGCTGCCAACTTCCAGGAGATTCTTTGTCGACTTTCTTCCACGTCGACGCGCCGTTCATCCAGTCGGGGCTCCCCCTTTGGCGCAGGGGGTATGCGCAAAGCGTTTTATCACACACTCCAGCCCTTTGAAGGTCTAGTTTGGGATGTGCGAAACGAACAAGCATCGACTCGGGTCACCTTGAGCCTGGAGCCTCTTGTTCCCAAACATCGGCGCTCAATCACATGAAACATCACCATCTCGACGCAAACGATGCTGTCCAGCTGCGCTGAGACGTTTTGGCTCAGCGATACTCCCGTATCATCTCGCCTTCACTGCGACATGCTTCGACGAGTCTTTCACATCCAAGACTTGCCAGAACCGGCAATGGCCATGCTGAACGCTTCCATGCCGTGATGCCGTCTTTAGGCTGCCAAGTCACAGCGCAGCTCCAACCTTCTTGCCCTGTGTCCTGGCCGAGCTGCCAATACCGGCAGCAATTTCGTCTCCTGGCTGAGCTCGTGATTTTGTGATTGTGTCCCACCCGCTCAGTAGCTGCAAAAGGTGTTTCTCTGACCGCTCTGAACCTGACGCATGCTTGAACACAGCAGGTTGCCAAACGTCAGTTGTCAGCAGAGAACTCCTGCATTTCCTGTTGCGGCTTCATGCGCTTGCTGCTCAACCCCATTGCCTCCAGCTGGCTTCTTCAGCTTCTGAGCTATCCCTTTCTGCTCAAAGTACGAGCGGTTGTTCTCGAAGAAGGACTTCATCCACTCCTTGGAGACATGGGCCCGCACGCAAACATGAACCATGCCAGCCGGTTGCATGATGTAACAAATGCCAGGCTCGTTAATTGAGGAATAGTCCTTTATTACATCTGGCAATAAGAGCTGCAGAATCGATCGGCTATTGTTCATGGAAAAGTCTTTGGAGTCTCTCACGATTGCAGCTCGTTCATTCAAGTGTCCGGACTTTCCACTGAGACGATCGTCTTGTTCTGTATTCGTCCGGTATCCTGGGCCTGAGGGAGCAAGTCTGCTGGTCGATCCGCAGGTCCGCTGATTCAATTGTTTACCCACCCAAGCCAGCATGTTCGGCTTCGGGCTGATGACAAGCTGAAATCTCTTCTGTGACTCTACAGGCCTGGATGTTCATTCGTTTGCCTGGGCGCCAGTTGTCTTCTGCTGGGTTCCCACATTTGCCACCTTGGTAGAGATGATCCCTGAACGGCTCAAGCATGGCTACAACATCTCAATGCGTTGGCTCATGGATGGTCACTGGCACAGTACACTTTCGTTCAAGTTACTCTCGTTGTCAAACTTCATTGGTTTCGTCCGATCTGGGCGACGATCGGGCCGCTCTTTGGCCGCTGTCTGGCCTAGCTAGCACACATGGACATCCAGATACACCGAGGAGGAATTCCAGTTCCAGCAGCTGCAAATCTTGAAAGTTGACTGCAACGTCTCGCACTGTTCCATCCCCCGGTCCCGACCTTTTTTCTCAGAGGCATTCTTTTTCGCCACAGCTTGCTGAGCGTATCCAGACATGGCTGCTCAAAGCTCTAGGGGTACGATGTCAAGGACATTAGGGACAGTTTGACTGACAAACCTGCTGCTCATGCCAGAACAGACAAGCTTTGATGTAACTACCAGCGAATCTGCATGTCGCCACTGTTTGGGAATGGAAGCATGAGCCAGCATGCTGCAGTGGAACGCCTCAATCTGAATCGATCTATTCCACACCACAGTGCGCGTCTATCTGACAGTGCCAGCGAGCGATTCGCGATCTGAAGTTTGCATGGACAGCCATTTTCGCACCTTCCTCGGTCGGTGCGACGAATGATGTCTGGCAGTCTGGCGTCTGGGGCATGCTCTAGGTGGGCCCCAGTTGTCGTTCATGTCACGCGCAGACACGTCACATACCCATGCCGCCCATGCCCTTGCCGCCCATGCCGGGTCCCATGTTTGAACAACCACAGCCTCCTTTGCAGCCGCAACCTCCGCAACACCCGCCACAACCGCAACCACCCCCAGAGCAACCGCCACAACAGCCGCCGCAACCGCATCCACAGCCTGGGCCACCGCAGCCACAGCCGCATCCTCCGCAGCGGCATCCACCACAGCCGTTTCCACAACCACTTCCACAGCCACAGTTTCCGCAGCAGCCACCCCCACAGCTTCCGCAGCCACAGCCGCCGCAGCCGCCGCAACCGCCACAGCCGCCACAGCCGCCGCAGCCGCCGCAGCCGCCGCAGCCACCACATGGACACCCCCCACAGCCACAGCCACATCCTCCACAACCACTGCAGCATCCACCGCCACATCCGCAGCCCGGTCCGCAGCCCTGGCATCCTCCACAACCTGGCGGGCCGCACCCACAGTTGCCACCTTTGCAGCCACAGCCACAACCACATGGACCTCCACAACCGCCACATGCACCGCATGGGCCACATCCGCCGCATTTGCCGCAGGGACCACATGCCCCACACGGGCCGCAACCACCTCCACATGACGGTCCACATCCACCGCATCCGCAGCCAGTATTGCAACCGCCACAGCTGCCACAGCCACAGCCGCCACAGCCGCCGCAGCCGCAACCGCCGCAACCGCCGCAACCACCGCAGCCACTGAAGCCACAGCCAGAGCAGCCGCGGCCACATCCAGAGCCACGACCATTCTCGGCATCTTTGTGGGCTTTCCTTGGCTCTGGCTCTCCCATGCCTTGGCTCCAGCTATCTGGCAGAAGTGGACTCAAGCAGCGCAAGATCAGCAACAGCCACGCTGGCAGCATGCAATACCGTGCAAACACAAGTTTTGGTCGCAATTCGGGTCATGATCCTTGGTTGAAGTGGTGACAGCCTCTGTCACCAAGAGAAAGACATCCCAAAGCCAGTGACAACTGCACTTGTTACTCTCACGAAGCAAGCGGAACCGAAACTGCAATCGGTCACGATTTCAGATGATTCGGCGGCGCCTTACTGTTTCCGCAATGACGCATGTGGCCTTGATGCAAAGCTCGCCTAACCACAGTCGCAATGCTCATGGCTACCGGTGCCACCACGCACTTCTTGTTTCATTTATGAGGCCTCGCCAAATGACCGTGGACCAAGCCTGAGCTTGGCAGGAGAGGTCTCGTGACTGGTGCCAAGCCACTGCCACCACTCTTCTGTTTGGCTTGGTATTCCTCTTGCCTGAGCTGCACACACATATCTTCCATGCATCGGAATTAATCATAGCTTGCTGTTTTGCTTGTGGTATTCATCTGTAGAATCTAAAGTATCCAAAGCACAGACGCAAGCACAGAAAGGGCTGTCTGCAGATGCGTGGCTGTTGCTGCATCATACGACGAATCTCCGCCTCCATGGGATCTTCGGCTACCGGCGGTGGTGGCGGCGCCGGTGACCTTGGCACAAGCATGGGTCATCAAAACATATCATGTCATATAATATCGTATGCCAGAATATCATCATATAGTATGGTATAGTATGTATGTATGTATGTTAGATATGTTATTATGGGTTTCGACTCTCACTCGCAGAGGCAAGGATCCAAGCACATCTTAATGCAGCAAGAGGCGATGCTGCGGGAGCGGGCCTTGGCACTTCGACCGAGACCAGTTTTAAGGTTTCTAGCACTACATTTAGCGTTTACATGTGTATGTATATGTGTCTATACATATATATATATATATATGCATATAGATAGATAGTTATTAATTCATTTATTTCTATTTACTGATCTGTATAACATATATACTCTACACATAAGCATATGTAGATACGCATGTATGTATATAGATATATACACACACACTACGTACTCCTTTTCCATACAGGCTTGTGCAATATGTATGTACCAATGTATGTGTATGTACTGATAATAAACACACCATATAGTTATAGTGTCTATAGGGTCTGTAGGACGACCAACAAAGCCAAGCAGGTCGAGTGCTCGTCGCACTTCTTCTTTTCTAGCCAAGGCACGACTGTGGAGTAGAACCTTCAAGGCTTTAGGGTTTATTTAGGGCGGCAAGAATGCGAATTTTCTGATGGTGAGGGTTGTCACCATCAATATGGTTCTGATCGGTGCAATTACCGTTCTTGGTACTGAGAGCCACATCACACACAAATATTAAAATTTGCAGTGAGAGTACTACGTACACTGAATGCGACTTCGTTCTGGACAAACGATCCGGCCTGCCGGTGCAGGTGGGGGCGGAGGACGATTTAGTCCCAATTGCGCTGCTGCATTCGCTGCTGCCTCTGCAGTGGAGCCCTTAAATCCGGTCGCAAAACGCTCAATCGGGTGCCGGCTGATGTGCAACAAGGCCTCATGTAGTTGCCTCGGCGCCTTCTCCTCAAGTCGCTGATCACGCCCACATTGTCCAAACTTCCCTGCTAGCCACGAAATGCACTCGCCTCGGTCTTGCTTTTGCTCAGGGCGGCATCCTGCCAGGAGCCATGACAAAGTAGTCAGCGCTTAGACATGCAGCATTCTGCATGAGCAGCAAACTGCATAGCGCCTGCGCTTGCTTGAGCTTGTCTCTCGCGGCCTTCTCAATCGCTTACGAGCAACTTGAAGGCGCGAAGACAGACAAAAAGCTTGCCAAAGCCTAAAGCGTACGTGACAGGCACGCAGCCAGGACTTGGTAGAGCTGGGCGCTGGCGGCAAGATAAGTGACACAATGTGTCATGTCATGAAAATTCAGACGACATTGTTGCTCTTAAATGTTGTAAACCAAACTCCCAAGCACATAAATAAGCAGAAAGGTGACGACACTTGCTCAAAAGTATATGTCTCGGCACGTATGTTACTGTATTGTATTGTCTAATATTCGATTTGCACTACATCATATGAGACTGTGCTGTATTCTGTTGTCTTATCTGTTCATGCATTACCTATTGTCTGCCATCTTGCCTTCCCTGAGAGTATCTTATCTTATCTTATGCCGTATTCTGCTGTCCTATATGAGTCTCTATCTCGTTATACGATCACATAGTCTTATCCCATCGAAATATTATAACGAGAAAAGTATGTTGTTAAAGAAAGATGTATATGTATATATATATATATATATATATCGATGGAGAAATACATACATACATGTATATCCTACAGTAGAAGCCAGAACGTTGGAACATCACTATCCTCATGGCCTTCAGGGAAAGCATAGGGAATCCCAGCACTAATCGTCCCAATTCCATGTTCCAACTTTCAGGAGTTCACTATATACACAAGACTCCTTTGCAACCCTGTCTATATAATATCACCCAACTCTCCCCGCCTTCTCGGCCTTGTAGGCTACATCCTTCAAAGGAGCACCGAATCTTTGTCACGTTGCATGTCGTAGGGTTTTCGGCGCTCGCACTCGGACAATCCAAAGGCTTAGGGATTTTGGATTGTTTGAAAAAAGCTTTTTTGGCTTAGGGTGGTCGAGAGTTTTTCCCTCCTGCATGGCTAGCACGAAGCAGTGCGTTACAAGAAATAGTCGGCTTCGTTGCTTTCTGTGCTTCCTGTTGAGTGACACGGGAAAGAATCATGCAAGGAACTACCATATTGAGGCTGGGAAATACTGTAATCCAGTCTTTAAGTGGGGGCGGTTGCCTTCAGTCTACTTAGTCTACTTCCACCACCACCACCACTACTACTACTACTACTACTTCTACTACTACGACTACTACTACTACGACTACGACTACGACTACGACTACTACTACTACTACTACTACTACTACTACTGCTAACAATAATTATGATAACAATAATAAAACTACGGCTGCTACTATCAATAACGACTGCGACGACGACGGTTGCTTTGCTACAAGTCTATACTGCAGTACGGATGACGAGCACCGCCGCCACAACTACAGCAACGGCCGGTGCGTTTTCTAAAGACCCTGCCTGGCTCTCTGCATCCTCTACAGTCCCGCCAGGCGGAGGTTGCCCCCGGATCTGTCCAGGGTGATTGTAAAGGCAAGCCTGAGTGTTGCAGACAAGGTCTAGACTCACCTCACTGGGATAAGCCGAGTTTCGACTCCCACGTTCGGTTTAGCTGTTTAGGGTATGTACTGAGTCCTGCGTGACCTTCCGTCGACATGCGTCGGCTGTGCAGCCAGGCCACAGGCGTCGTGCAGCGCCTCAGTCGGCGTGATGGCTCGGAGGTGAGCGTGGCGGTTGCGTTCGTGCCGGGCCGAGGCGGCGCTTGTCGCAGTTAACATTCAAGCACTGACTACTGTGTGGGAACTCTGGTCTTCATCAGCCATGTTTTTGCTCTGGACAGCACTTCACAGCATGACGAGGGCATAAAGAGCGGGGGAACAAAGCAACACAAAACTGCTTGGCAGGATGCTCTCCGAGCATGCACTTGGTGGCAAAGTAGTCGTCAAGCCAGCCTGGCATAGGTCAAGAACAACACCATACTGCTATTGTCAATGACCGGCACACATGAAGTTCGACACAGCTGCAGAACGCAATTCAGATCAGGGACGTTGCTTCTCAGCTTCATCCTGGGGGTGAAAGTTGGTGCACTTGGAGTACAGCTTGCCTGAGTTGCGGCTATGAGTGGCGCAAGTCGTTACCACTTCGTCTCACAGAACTGAGTTTCAGTTGCAGCTAAGCAGCAGTGTCCTTGCAAGAAGAAGACCTTGAACTCATGACTTTCAAGCAAAACCGTGCCGGATCGGCCAGCTGTGGCTAGGACTTGCTGTAGATGTCCGCCACGACTGGAAACTATTAGCCCTTTGTTGCAGCAGGCCTCGTTGTCCAGCAACCCGTTAGCCCTAAGCCATACAGCCCTAGCTCTATGCACGCCGAGCAGCACATGCCCTGTCCCGCGAAGCGTGCAAGGTCTTGATGGCATTCGCACGGGCAAAAGCAGCCCTGCAACAGCGAGCTGCTAAATTTCTTTGGCCTAGGGATAACTTAATTCAGGATACTCATTATAGGGCCGTGCAGCATCGTATAGTAGTATGGCATGCTGTAGCATACTACAGCATAGTCTACATCGTTTAGCATAGTTTAGCACAGGATGATACAGTATAGTCTCGTATGGTACCATGGTTGCATGGCCTTTTCGCTGCTTCGGCAAGCACGTCAGCGGTGAGGATGCCCGATCCTGGCGAGACTCCCTTTGAAAGCCGCAGCCGGCCCTAAACCCTTTTTGCAGCAGGCTTCATAACCCTAAACCCTAAAGATATGAGAAGGATGGCATTATACTTTTTGGCACTCGCTTCAGAACTCTCGAAGGCTACCACTCATGCACAGAGTGTTATACTTACATATGTATATATATATATATATATAGATGCACATCTATATATATATATATATATATGCATGTAAATGTGTATACCATAGATCATATATCATATGTATATGTGCTATAACAATGATAATACCTTTTATTCTGGCTATGATTGACGTACGATTGCTATTCTTGTTGTTGTTGTTACTATGATTACTACTATTTGCGTTGCTATCATTATCGTATTCATTACTATTCTTAGGTAGCGCAATTATTATCATTACTACTACTATTAGTATGAGTATTATTAGTGTGTATATATACCTATATATATATATATATATATATAAACTGCATACTACAAGATACAACATCGATTATACAATCTCTGAGCCCTGGCATTTGCATCTGAGGGGTTGGCCTTCGCCGCCCTTGGCGTCAGGAGGCTGCGTGCCTGCAAAAGCAAAGCCGTGTGAGCCAAGCATTACATGGTAGTATATTCGGTTATGTTATGTTGTATTATCTTATAATACAATATATGATCTGATGCTGTATCATGATATTTTTAAATATTTTATTGGGCCAGGTCTGACAGGCGAGACTGCTTGTAAGTTTCTTTTGCGGGATCGCTGTCAGCGGTGTCGCGAAAGCATTAGGTGTCCCCAGGGAAAATGGGATGAAGTGTGCTTGTGAAGGTGCGAACCTGTTCAAGCATACTACAGTGCAGGGGTGACTCCTCTAGCTCTCGTAGCTGAATCACTGGCATGCCTCTGCCGAGTCACGGAGCAATGATAAGCATGAGCAACCCTGGCTGCATAATAGTGCGGTGCCCACCTGCTGCAGCCGTGGGGCTCTTTGGCGGGCTAGCTCTCCTGGGACTGTCCCGTGGGCTGCCACGGCTCCTGCTGCGCCTGGGAATGGGGCTTCTCCTTGGAGGGCTTCTCCTCGGAGGACTCCTTCGTGGACTCCTTCTCGGGCTTCCACGAAAGCTGCGACTTCGGCTTCGCCTGGCGATACTTCTTCTAGGAGGAGTTCTTCTGGGAGGGCTCCTTCTTCTGAATGGGCTGCCCCTCCGAGGGCTTCGGCTGCGGCTGCGCCTAGCCGGGCTTCTCCTGGGAGGACTTCTTCGGGGAGGAGTGCCCCTCCTTGGACTTCTACTGCCACGGCTCCTGCTGCGCCTGGCAATGGGGCTTCTCCTCGGAGGGCTCCTCCTTGGGGGGCTTCTTCTGGGAGAGCTCCTTCTGGGTGGGCTGCCCCTCCTGGGACTTCCCCGTGGGCTGGCGCGGCTTCTGCTGCAGCGCCTAGCCATGCGAGGCTGGGAGCTGACGTGTAGAATGGCAAGAGTACAACATAAGACCCATCATTTCTCTTCTAGCATATAACCTCCCATACCTAGTACATATGCTCTATATCGTATCATGTAAGGTACCAAAGATACAATGTGAGAATTTGAGAGAGCCAACATCAAGTCATGCATCCTTGCCACCGGCCTTCGAGAGTTGGATCTGCCCGAGAGTCCGACCATCGAAGCTTCGAGTAATGCTCAGAAATGGGGGTTTCCGAAAATAGGGGGACCCTAATATAGTACCCTAAGCACTAGGATCCCTATTACAAAGACCCGAACATAGTACCCTAAGTACTAGGATCCCTATTACAAAGATCCGAACATAGTACCCTAAGTAGTAGGATCCCTATTACAAGGACCCTAAAATAAGGTACCCTAATTTTTGGAAACTCCCAAATCGGGCACAGTGTGTGAGGTGCTGCGGGGGCAAGTCGGTTTGCGCCATGGTGTCTGGGACTTTACCGTGTGAGCAATGACCAAATGGCTCTGTATCGCTTACGGCTACTGTACAGAGCTGGGAACCGTCTATCTAAGAGCTCGTGCTGCCCGAGATTCACCGTCTGGCCTGCAGCGTGGCTTTCTTGAGCCAGAATAACAAGCCTGCCGGAGAAAGGTGTCGGCAGAGTGGAGAGCTCCACTCTTGATGTGACGAGTTAGACTTTTGATGCTGAAGCTGTGATGGTGAAACATGGAGCCGGTCGCCCCCAACTTTTCGCAGCCGCAGCATCTTCAACTGACTGCGCCCCTCTGGTCCACTTGGCTCCTGCAGGGACGGTGTCAAAGAGAGTCCTACGCGAATCCCTCCATGCTCGTCACTGCCCTGCCGCTCTGCCGCTCCAGCTTCGACAAAGCCGCGGAGATGTCGGCTGGCAATGGACATCTGACGTCAAAGTCTCCGTTTCCGACCTTTGTGGGCTGCAGAAAGGTTTTGTGCCTCGCTTTCTGCAAGTTTCGCTTCTGCAGGTCTCGCTGTGCCATGCACACCGTATCGAAGCTAATTGGAATCGAATCTGGCTTCAAATCTACCCGAAGAGCCTTCTCTGCATTTGTATACACCGAAGACAGCGCGTGGTTTAGTCGCTTGGGTGTTACATTCCCTGCAAACTCCAACCTTGGCATATCTTGGCCCGCCGCTCACGTGATTGCATCGGGCACAGGGCTAGAAAGCGACCCCAATCTATCGCAGTTCTCCTGCTACTACCCTCTTGCAACTGGCTTGCAACGTCACGCCAGGACAGCTGACTCGTTCCAGGCTGCACTCGTGGCAGCAGACCCTTTTGCATCCAGGCCTATTGCAACTGCCACGCAGCAGACCCTAAACCCCTAAACCCTAAACCCGTACTTCACAAGCTCGGCTGCTCCGAGGGGTGAACATCCAGGCCAACACGGGCTGCGTGAAGAAATGTGCGAGGGCACCTGAAGCCAGGTTGACCCTGGCGATCACATGCGATCACATTATGTTAAATCAATATTATATTATACTGTATTATAGTATAGTATAGTATAGTATAGTATAGTATAGTATAGTTTATATATTATACTAGAATCTGCGAGTTGCTTATGTAACACTTTGCGGACAGTTGCTCGGTTGAGGACGTAGGGACGCACAGGTGATATTGCACCGGTGTCGCTTGCAGGGCAGGCGCCATGCCACTTCAATCCACCGGCTGAGCTCAGCTCCACTTCGGCGCTGCGCCGCCATACTGAACATCACCCACCTGGGAAGGCAATTCAACTTCTTATGAGCATGATCTTAGAGAGCAGAGTGCAAACGCCACAAGCAGAAATTCGCTGAGGACTGAAACTAGTGGATGCCCCTCTTCGGCAAGATGTGCCCGAATCCTGCCGGAGAGCCCGTGGTCTTCAGGGGAGGTTCTTGCAGGAGGCTCTGCCATCGTCAGGCACGAGGCCCAGGCTGATGTTGCCGGCCAGTGTGCAACAACACCTGCACACGATAGGCCAAGCAAGACTCAGATTACTTCGGGTGTTCAGTAGTTGTTCAGTGACAAGCAGGGACACCCGCTTTTTTCTGCAGCTTGACTCACCAAGCGCAGACATCCCGCCAATTGCAGGTTAAACAGTTAAACCATGAAACATCGATGTAAGGTGAAACCGTTCAGAGAGTCTCTCTGCTGTATTGGTCTTGAGTCCTTACCCTGGAGACACCTCAACGGGCGACATTATGTGTGACATGAACAACCGCTTAACTTCAAGTGTCTGTGTCTGGAGTCGAGAATGGAGATGCCAATATCAGCAAGGGTTGTCTTCTGTGGGCTGAACATGAATGCGGCTGAATAGCGACCACCGCTACAACCGCAGGCGTGAAACCATCTGCGGCTGCACTTATGCTACCTGTGATAATTACCAGACAGAGGGATGCTCCGTTTTATGCAGTTTGCAACTGGACGACATGGACCCCAACATAGAACAAACAGTGACTGTGTCCACACCAGCTTGGCCAAACAAGAGCATACTGTTTACCAATGATACTGGTTCATGTCTGCAGCGATTCTCCAGCAGTCAGGTGGCTGCAAACGCAGGCCGCAGCCAATCAGATCATGAGACACGCCCCTTAGCAGCAATCATGCGGTGGACATGGCTGCCTGGTGACGGGCACAATATTGTCCAAGTTGCTCAAACAGTACGTGCCTCCGATGTCGAATACCACATGGCGAAGCGCTCAAAGTCCAAGACCTGCGCCTCAGGGTCAGAACCGCTGTTTATTATTAGCCCTAAAATGCCAGTCCTATTCTTCTGGGCACGGGCACGACATTCGACTTGCTCATGCTGGCTGCCACTGCTACAACTATTCCTCCTACTACTACTACTACTACGACGACGACGACGACTACTACTACGAGGACGACGACTGGTGCAATGCAACTGGCGCCACGACGAGAGGACGACTATGATCTGCACTGCGAGCTCTTCTGTTGCTGCAGGCACCACCCGCAGCCATAGGGGCAGTTCTCTAAATTAGGGTCCCCTTGTAGGTCCCCAATATAGTACAGTACGGCACCCTTATACAAAGGAACCCAAAAGGACCCTAATTTAGAGAACTACCCATAGACGAAATACACGGTCCCCAATAAAGTACCCTAAAAGGGACCCTAATTTAGGAAACTACCCATATAGATTCCCCTTATAGTACCCTTATAGTAACCCTAAAAGGGACCCGAATTTAGGAAACTACCCAGATAGATTCCCCTTATAGTACCCTTCTAGTAACCCTAAAAGGGACCCTAATTTAGGAAACTACCCATAGACTCTAAACCCTAAACCCTAAACCTACCCATAGACAAAAAAGAGCCTCCGGGCCTTGCGGCCATCCTCGGGAGGCGGCATGGTACGCAGCGCCTGCTCCCACCTTCGCTTAGAGCGCGAACGGCTTAGGAGCAGTTATACAGGAGTTTCCGAAAATTATGGGATACCCTATTTTGGGGTCCGTATAATAAGGATCCTACTAGTTCTATACTATACTTAATGATGAAAATAAGACTGCTCATGATGATAACCCCTAAACTCTCCTCATGAAGCGTTTTTGTCGTGACACAGCTCCAAACTCAATGCTAAGTCTGTCGCACTGGTACCGGTATTCACGTGATGCATGCCATGCAGATTAATGCGAAGATGAAGTCTCTTTAGCAAGCCTAAGTAGGTCTTCGCAATGTGACCCAAAGCAAAGATCGCTTGCGGCGCGGGTGCCAGTAGTTGCTATCGCTCTCCGAGATGGTGCCTGCAGGCAGCCAAGTAAACTGCGCAGCACTGTCGAAAAAATCACCGGACCGAAGACATGAAAATCACAAGACAGAAAGGGCTATCTTGAGGCCAGGTGGCGGCCGAGGCAAAGACCTTTGAGCAGCCGCGCAAAGCCCTGCAAAGGTCTTGGGTAAAGTTGAACCAAAGTTTTTGCCCTAATCCCAACTGGGTGTGCAGGGCCTTCTTCAGGATCAGGTCGCTTTTGTCAGCTTGAGCCGCGAACTCCTTCCATCTAACATACATCACCAGCATCGCAATTAACAGAGTAACATAAGAACGTGGCCGAGATTCTGCCACTGGCAGCACAGATGCCTTGTGTCTCATGCCCATGCTGTTATCAAATTTGATGCCACTTCGTGCCTTGGAAAGGGAACCCCGGAAGGAGACATGCATCACCTGTCAGTGTTGACACTGCCGGAAAAGCATCCTTGTGTAGGAACTCGATGGCATCTTCGTCCATTTTGCTCTGCTGAGCGATGACCTTCAGAGACTTCTTTGCCTGCTTGCGAGCAGCGGCACACTCATGTGACATGCAACAAACCTCTATGCCTGCTGTTGCATGGATGCGGCAAGACGATGTTGCTGACTGGCCGGAGAAAGCACCGTGACCGAACCAGCACAGGAACATGTTGAATTTTGAAGCATGCAACACTGCATGCAACGCTTGTGATCAGGCCCAGGCCTGTGCAGGGGCTTCAGCTGGCTCCTGATGCCCCGGGGCTCCCAGCCACTGCAAAGAAGCACTGGGCTCTGTAGCACAATGGGGATCTTGCTCAACAGCTGCTGACCAATTCTTCACATTGCTAGTACTGAGTTGTTGGAGGAGGTCGACCCTTGTTCGAGGGCTCTGCTCCATGCCATCGCTTCCGGCCTTGGTGCTGCCGCTGCTGGGGCCACCGCCCCCGAGGCCGCCCAGCGAGAGGCCCACCGCTGCAGCTGCAGACTTCCTGTCCTCCTCCAACTTCGCACGCTCCAGGGGTGCCTTGTTGCCCAAGACTGGACTGAGAAATGGACGGATGCTGACCAATCTGACCGTCAAGCTGCCATGGTCACCATCCAAAGCTTCTGCCGCGAGTCGTGCAGGACGCGCCGCTGCTCTCGCATGTCCTGGGCAGCCCAGATATACTGCACGCGTCTCCGGTCGCAGTTTTCCCTTTTGTGTGAGGATGTCGGCATGCCCGGAGTGATCTGTCGGATGCTACTAACGAAACCCATGCCAGGGTTTTCGTTTCTGGTCAACTCAAGGCATGGAATATTGCTGCAAGGCTGCTTGGAAGATTGGAAGCTTGCTTCGAGTCCAAGGTGCATAGAACACCTTCTGTATGTTCCGCACAGGATCGTTCACCTGGCGGAGCAAATGCGCGTTTGCGCGCCTGCGCCAGTATACAACTGCATCGGCGGAGCAGAAAGCATGAAGGATCGGGCTAGCTCATTTTGGTGGACAGGCACATGCCCCTTTATACTCCCTTGAGCAGAAGCATGTACACCTATGGCACGGGCTGCACACAACATCCAAGCAATCCTTCCAATTCGGCATGCTTGCTCACATTACTGTTCAAGGACCAACACCGGCCAGCTCCAGAAGTGGCACTGCCTCGTCGTTGTATGTCTTCTTGCAAAGCTTGACTTCAGCAGAGCCTCGGCCCGCACATGCCCGTCCTTCTTGATATGACAACAAACCAACTTTGAAAGAATGATACATGCTATTTCGTCTGGATCTGCCTATCTGATACGTGTCATGAGTGGTTGCTACACTAACTGTCGGCGAATCAGAACTTCGTCTAACACCACGGCTACTCCTCGTACACCCGATGCAGCCACCACAAAGACGACGGCCTCTAGTCTTGCCATCACTCTTGCTGAAAGACCTACTACAACTACAGTAACTACAGCTCTTCCTCACGCTCTGGCACCTGCGGCTACTCTTTCTGTGACCTGTGCGGTTACGACTAGATACAGTTCAACGCAGATCCACATCCAACCTCCCCATGTGCGTATTCTGCCAACAGGCTGAAGGTCTGCACATCCTCGCGGTCCTTTGGCCCAGTACCACGAGGCAAGTGGGCGGCCACGATCTCTCGGCAGCGCGCATCGCCTCGGCTTGGCTAGGTTGCCCAGCTGGTTTAAAGCTTTTCGGGCACAGTTCAGACTGGATTCTTGGGGTTGGTACACCGCCGCAGCCCTCTTGATAGGCGGCCCCTGTTATCCCCCGTTAACAGCAGCCAAAAGGCTTTTACCTCTGTTCTTCAGGCGCCGGATCGTGGCGCCCATCCACTTTCGAAGCTGCGCTGCATTTTCGTGGCTTTCCTTGGCTCAGAAGGGAAGCTTCTCTGTATAGTACTTGTTGAGGGTCTTATTTTTCAAGGATACATCTTGACCAACAGGGATAGATGCACTATGCCTAACGGCTTAACATTTCGCCTCCGATCTCCTGCGCCGCTGCACTGCGGTTTGCATGTTACGGTCCATGGTTGGTGATGCATAGGTACCTTGTGCTTGGGTCTGCGCGCAGGCCTGTCGATGGAAAGAAGAATCGAACTCCCAACAGTCGATGCTACTGTGGGAACCACGAACCCCAACTCCCCAAAAAGGAACGTTTTTTTGTGGAACTCTTTTTGGCATCCAGGCCTCCTGAAGGTGTTGCCGGGTACTGGTATAGTGGAACCCTAAACCCTATAAGCCCTACAACCCTTTAATTATATTACCAGTAACCTCAAAAGCTCAAAAAGGTAACTATGAAGATCGAAGCTTCCGAGGTGTTGAAGAGCTGCTCCAATTCTGCCTGCCGACACTCAGGGCTCAGTGTCATATGGACTGATGTTGATGGCTCTGAGTTCTGCCGTCAGTGAAGGCTTGCAGCAGCTTCCTTCATCTTTCCCTGCCAAGTTCGCAGTGCCTCTGGGGTCTGCGGCTGCCACTTTGGGTCTCTCGCATTCTCAACATCACCTTGGCTGGGAAAGTTTAGCAGCGCTCCCGCTGAGCAATATGCAGGCGAGGCACACTTCTGGAGCGTCCATTTCTTCCAGAAATCTGGCGTATTCACTCGCTCAGGCTCCTGTGCAACAGGACATTGAACACCGAGGATCGGAAAATCTGGGCAGCAGGTTTCAGGGCGAACATGCAGTGTCAACCCTTCGAAACTGTGAGACCGCTGAGTCAGGTGCTGCTTAGCCCTCGAAGAATTTGAACAGCTGTTGCGATTTGCGGGTAGCCACCCCTGTTGAGTCGTTCGGCATCTTGCCAAAATCTCTACCACTCTGTTTGTTCCATCCATTCAACATTTTCGGGTGAAGGAGGGACGGCCACTGCACGCCTTGTCATCAAGGTTCGGAAACAACTCCTTGAAGATGATGACTCCATCCTTGTCCTTCGGAACAACCAAGCTTTTTATGATATCCTTTGGACTCGTCCAACACCTTGCCAGTGGCACGCAAGCATTCTAATTGCAGGCTTTGGCTTGCGCGTCTCTCTGCCTAAGCCTTGGGGGAAGCAACTTTCCAAAGCAATAAAACCAGTGTCTGTGTGCGTATATAGACTATCCATCTACACTTCCCTATGTGTCTGTCTGTCTGTCTGTCTGTCTGTCTATCTATCTGTCTATCTATACACCTATCTATCTATCTATCTATCTATCTATCTATCTACATGCGTGCATGTATGTATGCATGCATGAATAAGTATGGTGCATGTATGAATACATAACTAAAAAAAGTCTATCTGTCTATCTATCACATGGCTCTCCCTCCGTGGGTGTCCCCTGTAGGGCCATGATTTTTTTAACCTGCAAATCTTTTTTCTGACCTGGACTCTTTTTTTGACCTAGTTCTTGCTGCCATTGTGCATGCTTGCTTTCGATGGTCTGTGTCCCCGAAGCTGAATCCCGGATAGATTCCGATGAACCCTAAACCCTAAACCCTAAATCCTAAATCCTGAACCCTAAATTTTAGAGGCACCCCTCTAAACCCACTTTAAACCCGCTCCAAACGCTCTCTAAACCGTAAACCCCTTCTAAAACCCCTCCAAGCCCCCTCTGAACCCGCTTAAACCCCCTCGAACCTTCTCCCCCCTCTAAACCCTCTCTAAACCCGCTCTAAACCCCCTCTAAACCAGACCAGAGATGGCTTCGACCCCATGTGCCAGCTGTGCAATGCATCTGTTTGTGCAGGTTTGCCAGGGCGACTTGCACCATGTAGTGCTTTCTGGAGGTATTCGGCTGCCGGCTTTTTGACAGATTGCAGCCACTCGAAGCCGACATGCCAGATAGCGTCAAAAAGCTGGATGGTTGGAAGACTGCGAATGATGCGAAGCAAGTCTTGTAGCTTGCGAAAAGAAAGTGCCGAGGCGCCGACACGATTCCTCTGCACATCATGGACTCCAGAACTTTGTGAGTAGCCCGTCTCATGTGCGCATAGTCGTCGCATGGCCGACTTCCTGGAAAGCACTCCTTCCTGGCCGCCTGGATCCCCTTCGCATAGTCTTTGTGCACTTAGTGCACCTGCTCGCGAAGCTCCAGCTCACACTCTTTCTCTCCGATCTCGATGGCTAGCTTGAAGAACGCTTTCATGTTTGCTGTCGACTCTGCGTCCGTGAGAGCTTGTAGAAACGGCTCTTGCGTGGAGCAATGCGCCTCGTTTGGAAGGTTTCGATGCCTAATTGTCGACCGCGATACCTTTTCGCTGGAGATCATGAAGCGTAGGGTCGCCACGGTGTAGTCGTTGGCAGCGATCTTTTGTTTGCCGTCGACCACGAACTTGACGACCTAACACCGAAGCGATTAATTATACTTTCCCGCCCTGCTATAGAGGCTGCGCTCCTGCAACTCCCAAACGGCAATAAAGACGCCCCATCGATATAAAGCTACATTCGTTATAATCGAACGAAGCAGACCGAAAACCTTCCGCTAGGGGCTACCACAGGAGCTAATCGTGCACCCTGCACGCATCCGCAGCACTGTGGCGGGAGCACGATTGGCAAGATGTAAACGCTATGAAGACTCGAGGTGTGCTGTAGTATTGTAGAGAGAACACGACCTGGTGTCCGAGTGCTAGCATAGGAACCTAGTATACAGACAAAGAGGCCACCCAGCAGACATTACATTCGAGTATGAGGGAGATCCGAGCTCCTGTGCCGCCGTGCTGCGCCAGGAGCTGCTGCTACTGGCACTGCTGTTGCTGTCGTTGCTGCTGGGGTTGCTACCGCCGCAGCGTGCCGCAGGCCGCTTCTTGGCTGCTGCCTTTCGAGTGGGTCGCAGATCGTTGATGTTCTCCTGCGCAACATGTGTTGTCTGACGCCATAAACAGGAAGGAAATGTGGACAGGATGTCCGCCCTGACAGGTGGCGAACGCTGCAGCAAGATCCGGTCCGGGAGGACGAGGTGCTTCACGATTTTCAAACGTGCCTGGCAGGCATCACACTAAAGCGATTTGTTCAACGAGCGGCAGACGTGCCAGAGCTGCTATCAACTCCTTCTTCGTCCCTGCCGAGCGCAACCCGTAGCGCGTGGCCAACCACGGCAGCCTAAGGAAATACAGGGTCCCTGCAAAACGCTCGTTTGTAGACCGATCGCCGCATTTCCCATACGACAAAGGGAAGGTCAGCACGCAGGTAGTCCCAAAGCTTGCAACGCCTGGGCTTGGTCTGCCTGCGGCGTGCATGCATTATATAACGAGCATCATTCGACATCAACCGTTCTCCCACCAATCTGCCTCATGCTGCAGGCGGCGCTCCCGGGAAGCGCGTTTTTGTGCGTGTGTGCGTGCGCGAGCCATTGCTTTGGCAAGCGTCACTTCTTACCGTCAAGATTCTCGGACCACATGCGGCTGGTGTCGAGTGCATCAGGCATGGGGGCTATGCATCTGATTTGTCCTGCGTAGATAAACTGGATAAACACGCCTAACTTGACATCTAAGCATGAAGTAGTCCAGCTTACGAGAATGACCATCGTCGCAACTACTATCTATATATATATATATATATAGAAATGTATAAGTACTATACACAACGAGCCCCATCACCCTCAACTCCGACCTTTGCACATCCCTGCAGCACTTTAAAGCAATGGCGACTCTAGTAGGGCTTAATTCTTCAAGTGGATAGATGGAACGTTTTTCGTGATTTCGAGCTTTGGGCTCGAATTCTAGTTTTTTTCGGGCGGTCTCAGCGGTTGCTTTTGGATTTAGTTAGACCTTCCTCTGACTGTATAGGCCATAAGATAACAGTTTTCTCGGTCATAAAATAACAATTAACCCCCTCATCAAATATCACTTATCTCGGCGAAAAATAAACCCTGTCAAAAAAACCACAGCTATCTCGGATAAAGTGACATTTACCCCTGTCATCAACGAACCCATGTCCCCTTCATAAACTAATGCTTCGCTTCGGCATAAACGATACTGCCAAGGCCTCCTACCCGCGGTTTGAGAGAGGCCTCGGAACGTGGGTCTAGGGCACTAGGGAAAGATGACAGCTAGGGAGGGCCGTAGTTATCGCAAGCCTATGAATCCTACGGATAATTCAGCAGCTTTTTCTGCTAGAGGAAGATAATATAACAGTCACAGGGCCCGAAACTAAACTGTTGATTTTGGCCTACGAGGGAGCCTTTTTGGGACCCTACAGGCACCTACCACGTTCAACCCGGTACCGCAACAAGGGGCCAGCATTGGCCCCTTCCTAGAGCAGGAACAGGAAGGTCAGCAGCTGGAGGGTGTTGCCTGGTTTGGGACAAGCTAATTGGGAGCTGGCCGTGCGAAGACACTAGGACTGGGACTTGTAGGAGCAAGAGCGGGAGCAGGAAGAGGAGCAGCAGCGGCAGCAGCAGCAGCAGCAGCAGTGGCGTGCAGTTGGGCCCTCGTATAAATTATGGCACAAGGAGCTATAGGTCAAAGACAGCCTCTTAAAACAGAGACCTCGAGTAACGAGACCACTGACCTGTCTAAGGTCTAGCTTCCTCGCAAACCCCTCGAACAAAAAGCGACGCGTCACATAGGCCAGTAGAGTCCAAGCCACGGTTGGGGGGGGGGGCTTTGGAGGATTTGGAGGTTCCGGTTCAGGTTCGGCTATCTATTTTTTTTGTTTGGAGGGGGGGGGGGTCGAGCCAGGTCAGGATTCAGGCTGTCCAAGTCAAAGTTAAGATTCAACAGGTCAGAAAAAAGATCCCGGGTCGGAAAAGCTATTGCAGGACGGTGGAGGGGTCCGCGGGTACGGATGGGAGCTGGATTCTGTCAGAAAGGAGTGGCGGAAGTCAGACCGTCCAGGTCAGAATGAAGATTATCCAGGTCAGAAAGAAGATCCCGTAGCAGTGGGCGAGGTCAGGATTCAGACTGTCCAGGTCAGAAATAAGATTATCCAGGTCAGAAAAAGATCCCGACGAGAAGGCGGGGGCACCAGGTCGAAAATCAGATGGGCCAGGTTCAACAAAGGATTTCAGGTCAAAAAACAGGTAGGTTAGAAAAAAGAGACACCCGTCCAATTTGTCTCTCTCTCCATCTAACTATCTCTATATCAATCTATGTGCCTGTTCTGCCTATCTATCTGGGTCTATCTGCGCTCTATCATTCTGTATCTCTCTCTGTTTGTATACAGTCAGTTGAAGAACACCCAGCCTTTTCGACAAACGTTGAATCGGCTAGGGAAATCATGAACCCCATTTGCAGTCCACGTCGAACAGCTGGAAGAGATCTCTGGATCGCTGCATACCAGTGATGGCTTGCCAGTTCACACCGATCCTGTCAGCGACTAGCTAAGCAGTTTCCAACATCCTCAACCCTCAACCCTGAACCCCCAACATCAGAACTAGCTAAACGGTTCCCAACATCCTAAACCCTAAACCCCCAACATCAGAACTGCAGGATCCTCCACCTTTCTGGGCCTGTCTGCATACATCTGTCCAACAACTCTCCGCTGCCCAGCCTTCCAACTCCATCCGCGAACTCTTGCGAGCCTTAGTGGGCAGAGGGAAGCTGCCATGATATACATATCCATATATCGATATCTACATATATATATATATATGTATCTATAACATATGTGATCAGAGACTAATGCATTCTGCAATGAACAGTCCATTATATATTATGTTAGAATCTTGTGAAGTATATTGCTGATAGCTTCGGGCGCCTCGCGTCTCATTGCATGCAAGGGCGCTGATATTGCCGCTGCCATTCAAGTCCAGCTTCTTGAAGGCTGCACGTGGGGCGCCCCCGCATCTTTCCTTGAGGCAAAGGCTTCGTAATTTGCCATGGTCGTTCAAGCCGCCTTATTTGTTTTGGGGCACCATTACTCACGATGATTGTGCTCCTCTTGTCCAAGCTACCAGTAGCTTGTATTAATCGTGACGATGTGGACATGATTCCCCGTTCTCCGTCTCAGCTGACTCTCCTCGAAGGTGCCACGGCATGAAACGGTAGCCTGCTAAGCCCTGTCGACCGAGCGACTATAAGCTCACGTCGGATCGCCTGACGATGCCTTTGCTGTCTGAGAGTGCTTTCGACTGGCACTGGGGGTGAAGCAGCACCAGAAGCTGTCAATGGTGCAGTGCGAACCGGAACACACGGGCATGAAGACTGCAAAGCGATTTGACAGTGTTAGTGACTGCCGTGCCGTACCAAGCAACTCCTCCCGCCGCAGCGCGAGCCTCGCTTACAGCTGATCCACATTGCCAGTACTATACAAATTCCTTCAATGAAGCGCACACACACACACACAACATTCATTCGTGTGTGTGTGTGTGTGTGGGCGTGTGTGCGGCGTTGCACGTGCCTGTGTGCGTGCACGTGCGTGTGCGTGCATGTGCATGCACGTGCGCTCTCGTGGCACGATGCCCGGAAGTTGAAGCGTGTCTGTATTCGGGAACTGCCCTCAAACAGCACATAAATGATCTGCCACAATGCCGTGCGCACATGCGGCCTTGTCAGATGATACCATGCACAGACTCACTACCGGATGCATGGCCCTGGAGAATAGACAGCAAAATACCAGTTCTACAACCGCCCCTGCTGCTATGTTCCGATCGTGCAACCCTTCCGGGACTCAAACGGGCTCAGACTCAGACTCCAGCGAGAGAACTTGCTCCCGCGGCTGTGCTGACAAACGCGTTGCATTCGGAGTGTTGCAAGGCTCATTCGGCCGAGGGTCTCCTCCGGGCTCAGCTGCGGCCGCCGGAAGAAGCCTCAAAGAGAAAGAGTGTAGAGCAAGGGGACGGTCTCACGATAACTTCCCAGCAGTGTGCATAGAGTTGTGTATTGCGCAACACAAGTTTTTCAAGTGAAGATGCTGCAGCTAAGAGGCCACTCTGATTCGTGCTGTGGAAGGTGCTCCGCATCGCCGAAGAGTTCTCGAGTTTGAGATGCTACGCACACGAAGCAGAAAAAGGAGGCTCGGCTTCCCAAGACAGTCCTGTGATCTCGCAGATGCGCTCATCAGTTGCGCCTGCCTTCAGGCAAGCTTGTTTTCAAGGCAGTGAGGCAGGAGTGCCTGCACCCCTCATTATCCCGGAACGATGGCCATGTCAAGCTGCACCGGGCTTCATGCAAGCTCAACACAGCGTCGCCGAGCCAAACTTTCGCCCCCAATGTTTCCACCATCCAGCAAGAATAACCTTTTCGCCGAGAGTCGTTAGCTTTGCCTCCTTCTCCTTCTGTCGCTGATCAGCAGCATCGAAATATTCCTTGAGGGTAATGTGCGAGTCCTCGACATGAACCTTGAGACGGCAAGGAGACAGAGCATCCCCCATCTCTCTGCACAGCACACTCTCGCTCATGCTGGCCTCAGGTCCTCGGCTTTAAATGGGACCCAGCAACAATAGTCGTTATTTCCGGAATAGGAATTAATGATGATAATACACACTTTGGTGCACTTCTCGATGTATCCGTGTCATCCTTGAGCAGTAGCCCTGCTCATCTTCTCTGTACCGTTCCAACTTTGTCGGAGGATTCCATTCGGGGAATAATATTAATAGCTACTAACAGCAATAAGAATAACAACAATAAAAGAATCATCATCATCATCATAAATCACAACAGACCCAGCCTCTGGCTCTTCCTCTACCACGTCGACCCGTTTGCGGTCTAGCTCTGGCGCAGTCTGCGATCGCAGCTCACCTGAAGAATCGCTTCGTGGTTCGTGGCCCCATGCACATCATAGCATTCAAAGCAAGTGGAGGGAAGGGTCGCGTGGTCTCGGAAAAACTTTTAAGGGCTAGCGGCTAGCAGTGACTAGCACACAGAGGATGAAAGCAAAACTTCAGGGCGAGCCCCTTTGGCATGAAGCTGCAGCTCAGGTACTTGCAGGCTTCTCATCTGCAGGCTGCAATTCATTGCTCCTACAATCTGCGCATTGTGCTCAAAGTTGGCTCTCCGGTGGGAAACTTGCACTAGCCTTCCGTGAATTGGGGGTTTCCGAAAATAGGGGACCCTAATATAGTACTCTAAATAATAGGATCCATGTTATAAGGATCCCAAAATAAGGTGCCCCTTATTTTCGGAAGCTCTCAATTTGTGGCAGATGGCCCTGAGCATCCTGTCCTGCCAGCCTCCGACCCTGGCGGTCTTGCAGGGCTGGTGACCTGCACATTGACCTGCAAGTCAGGGGAAGTCGCGACTCGCCGTTGCGCTCAAGCCTGTGGACTCTGGACATCATCACAATATATGTAGCTATGCAGGGAAAAAGAGAGAGGGAGGGAGGGAGGGAG